CCTAATTTTTTTATTATTATTAATATTATTTTTCCTTTTTTTAAAACTACAGGGCGAATCGACAGGAAAAATGGAAAAATTTCACGTCCGAAAAAAAAAAATAACCGACAGGTTTCACAGATTTCAAAACATGAGACGACGACGTTCAAAACTCAGGTTCAATGTGATGAGATAAAAATCAGGTACCGTGTTTTTTTTTTTTTTTTCTATTTTCCCTCTCACTTCACGAACGTAAGATGACGTTTTCAAAATATATAAATTAAACGTGTAACAAAATTCATTTTAAAATCCGATTTTTAAATGAAGCCATAAAATAAATTGATTGATTTCAATCAATTGTTAACCATTGATTTATTAATCTTTTTACAAAAAAAAAAAAAAAAAAAATTTTATTATTACGAAATAAAAATAAATGTATGTAAAAAAAAAAAAAAAATTAAATTTCTTTATTGAATCGTATTATTATTATTATTATTATTATTGTTTGTTTGTTTGTTTGTTTGCTTGCAAAAAATTTATTATCAATAACAAAACAACAAACAACAACAACAAATCATCAACCGTAAAATTTTTATTTATCACTTTAAAAAAAAAATTTTCTTTAATCGAAGTTAAAAATTTTTTCAATTTTTTTTCGTGACGTGTCAGAAACCGATTCAAAGGTGGGGGAACAGGTGGGAGGGGATAAACCTGTTCAAATTTTCTTCAAAATTTTCCAAATAATTAATTTTAATAAACGAAACGAAGAAAAGAAAAAATTTTACAAAACGTTAAAAGGTAAAAAAAAAGAGGAAAAGGGGGAGGGGAAGAGGAAGGAGGGACGGCCTGGAGGGAAAAAGTTGTAAAACAACTACTCGAATCTGGAATTATTATTATTATTAAGAAATCTAGGCCTCGTTTTTTTTTTTTTTTTTAATTCAGAAAAGAAAGCTACTAATTCAATACACAGACAGAAAAAAAAATTTTTTATTTTTAAATTAATATTCCGACCATATTTGATTTGATTATAATGAATATCCCTCTCTCTCCTTCCCCCTCCCCCCGAACGGAATGTAAAATAAAATAAAAATAATTTTTTTTTTTTTTGGGGTCGAATAACATTTACTGAACTAAACAATTTTTAGTAAAAAAATGATGATGATGATGACACTGTTTAAAAAAAGAAAACCTTTGGTGTCGAATATAATTCGCCTGGAAAAAAAAAAATTCGTAATCGGATTTCACGCGCCTTAAAAAAGTTTCAAATTTTTCTCGTTTGTGTGTGTTTTTTTTTTTTTTTTTTTTTTTTTTTTTTATATCCGCAACGCGAAAACATAAAAAAACATAAAAAACATAAAATGTTTTTATATCTCATTAAAACGGGGTTTGTTTAATTTGATACATATCCCCAAAAAAAAAATTCCAGAAAGTTGTACTTTTAATTAATAATTAAACAAAGTGAAACTTTACAAAAAAATTTTAATTGAAAATTGAATTTACCAAAACTCTCTAAAAATTGGTACAGCCCACAGCATCCCTGGAAAACCGTGCCATGACGTCACAATCGTTGGTTTAACGGTTTTCCAAAAAAAAATTAAAATTGAAAAGTAAAAAAAAAAATTTTTAATTGGATACTAAAAGTAAATTATAAATTTTTTTTTATTTCTCCAATAAAATGCCGTAAATAATAATGATAATAATAAAACTCGAGTATTATTATTATTATCATCATTATTATTAATTACGGCAGGTTTTCGTTAAGGTCAGCGAAGGTGGTAGCAGCAAAAAAAAAAAAAAATGGTAACTGGAAAGGAAATAATTTATGGAACTTTCTAAAAAAAAAAAAAAATTCGAAATCTTATTACGTTACTTATTAATTGGGAGAATATGCGTAATGATGTAAATCCCCCCCCTAAATCCGTTAACCCCCTTCCCCCCAACACGTCACTTCCTTTTTCATAAAGTTTTTCACTTCCTTTTTTGTTTTTAATTCGTTTGGATTCAATCACGAAGTTGAAATTTTTTTTTTTTTTTTTTGTAACATTTAATTTATTACATTTGACGACGACCTTCATTTTTTATTATTATTATTATTATTATTATTATTATTATTATTATTATTATTATTATTATTATTATTATTATTAATATTATTATGGTCAAAGGTAAAATTAATGATTCGAGTTTTGAACTTGTGCGAACACGAAACAGAAAACTGGAATATTTCCAGTTACGGCAAATTTAAATGTTTAACTTATCACTTACCCAACTGGAAATTTTTTTAAAATGATTCAAATGTCGTAGAGTTTATTAGTACCATAAAAAAAAAAAGATGATGATAATATTTGCGGAGATAAATCTAATCATCTTCGATTGATGAGACGAGATAAATAAATCAATGATTTGCAGAATCCGTGTCGCGTTCCAAAAAAAAATTTTTTTATACCTAAAACTATAAAAATTTCAGGTGCGACATTTTTTTTTTTTTTTTTTTTTGGGTGTTAAATAAATTTAATATTGTATTCGAATGAATGAAAATATTTTATTGTTTTGTTTGTTAATTACGACGACGACAACAACAACAACAAACACAATCGATAAAATATTCAAAGTTCAAGTTGTTTGCAAAATGAAGGGAGAGGAGGGGAGAGAGGAAAAGAGGGAGGGAGAAGGTGAAAACAATAAAAAAAGTCGACGATTGTGTAAAAAAAAAAAAAAAAAAAAAAAAAACGATTGTTAAATGTTAAAATTATTAAAATTATTTTTTATAACATCTTCTCCTCCCAAATAAGTTTAAAAAAACATAAAAACAACGACAAACAACAACAACCAGGATTCTTTAAAAAAAAAAAACTGTAGGCGGGTGTAAAAAAAACCCGGATCAATCGAATGTTTTTTTTTTTTTTTTTGTTATTTTAGGTACATCAATTACAATTTAAAAAAAAAAAAAAAATTATCGTGTCTTTAGATTACGTGTGCTGCATTTAGAATAAAATTTAATTAACGATCGATCGTGGTTTTAGATTTTTGTTAAATTACATGTACGTTTAAAAAGAAAAGAAAAAGAAAATTTTTTTTTTCGCTTGATTTTTAATATTTGATTTTTATAGATTTAAATCAGACTCGAATTAGCTTAATTGATTTTATTAATATGTAGAGGACGCCATTTTGAAATTGAATTCGGTTCGTTAATTTTAAAAATTTTCTGGAAAACTGGAATGAGTTTGAAAATAAAAATAAAAAAAAGGAAAAAAATCTCGTTTTTTATTTTATTTATTTATTTATTAATAAGTCGAACGAGTTCGATTTTATTACGATTTCGAATTAAAATCATTTTAAGTTTTTTTTATTTATTTTTTTATTTATTTTATTAAACGATCCGCCATTTTCTCATCAAATTACACGAACCGCCATCATTTTCCTATTGAATGAAGAGGAAAAAAAGAAAAAAAAACTGGTTAATATGCCAAAATTTTGATTTTTTTATGAGTCACCGTCTAAACTTTCCCCCGTTTTCAAGTCGAGTCGTGGCGGTTGTAAAATATTCAAATTATATTCAAATTATATCCGCGCCTTTCCCCCCATTGTTATTATCATCATTATCAATAACATCCCCCCGAAAGAAAAAGAAAAAAAAGAAAATTAATTTATATTGAGTAATTAATTTTTTATTTATTTTTCGATGCGAATATTAACAATTTTGTTGTTTTTTTGTTTTATTTTTGTAAACCCTGTTGCGATTCTATTATTATTGTAAAATGTCCACCGCCTTTTAAAAACGACAAACAAAACAAACAACAAACAACAAAAATGCATTTTTTAAATAAAAAACTAAAAATATTTTATTTTCGAAACAATTCTACAACGCTGCTGCCATCTACAATCTCTCTCTTTTTTTATTTATTTTATAATATTTAATTATTATTATTATTATTATTTGATTTGAGAGGATATTAAATAATAATACTAATACTAATAATAATAATAATAATAATAATAATAATAATAATAATAATAATAATAATAATAATAATAATAATTTTAAAACGAATAAAAAATAAAAATGAGGAGGAAAAGAAAAAAGAAAAGAAGTTTAAATTTTGTTAAAACAGTGATGACGTAAGAAAAAGCGTCGGACTATTTTTAAATTTTTTTTTTTTTTCTTTTCGAAAAAGATTCTGTCGGTTCTGTTATAATGTAGATTATTAAGTAGAGAGAGTAAGCGAAAAAGAGAGAGAGAGAGAGAGAGAGAAAGACGGGAAACGATTCGTAAATGAATAAGAAGAAATTTCTGGAAAGTTTAGTTTAGTCAAAAAATTTAATTTAATTTTTAATAAGTGATTTCTTTTTTTTTTTTTTTTTTTTTTTTGTTTGGGGGGGGATTTTCGAAATGTTTTTTTTTTTTTTAATGAATTTAATGTAAAATTATGTAAAAAACGATCGAACGAAATAAAATAAAATAAAATTTATTTTAATTGTTATCATTCCGATAAAAAAAAAACGTGGTAAAATTTATATAAAAAAAAAAGAAAAACAAATGAAAAAAAATGAAAACGATAAATTTTTAACACATAAGGTAAGCATTAATTGTTTTTTTTAAATAATAATAATAATTTTAGTTAATTGAAATTTTTTTTGCGATGTATTTATTTATTAATATTATTAATATAAGATTTGTGTTGGTTTTAATTTGTGTTTGTAATGATAACACGATTAATGATATTGATAACAGTGGGGTGGGATGGGGTGTGGGGGTTAAATGGGTGTAAAAAAATAATTTTTTTTTTTTTTGTTTATTTATTATTTATTTACGAATGATAAAATTTTTTTTTTGCCAACACAGTAACCATGTTTATATATAATGTTATTAATAGCTTAAGACCTTGTTTTTTTTTTTTTTATTGTTCTTCGAACGAGAATGTAAAAAACTAAAAAACTAATTAAAACTGATTTACTTGAAAAGCCATGAATGTCAAAAAAAAAAAAAAATTTTTTTACGTTTGTTTGATTTGTTTTAAGCAATGGGAAACCAACAAGGAAAAACTAATAAAAGAAGTTATGCCAACAAAATCGATTGGACCAGAGCTGGTAATTAAATAAAATAAATAAATAAATAAATAGAAAGTTTTTTTTTGGTTTTTTGAAAATTTTATTTGTGAATTACGTAGAACGACCGACGCCTCCTGGAAAACCATTTTTGATACCGGAAAAAAATAATAAATATACGGATGTGATAACGATTCGATGGTCGCCACCTTTGGACGACGGTGGAGCTCCCATAATCGGTTACGTTGTCGAACATAGAAGAACTGGGTCGCCGCATTGGCTTCGTGCAACGCCTCACTTGGTAATCGATACGGAATTACCATTGACCGGATTGGAACCAGGATGGAGGTATCAGTTTCGGATAAGTGCGGAAAACGAAGTCGGAAAATCCGATCCCGGTGAATTATCGGAACCGTTGACCGTGACGCCGCAAAAATCCGCAGCTTCCGCTCCTTTTTTCAACATAGAATTGGAAGATAAAATCGGTTTGGAAAATGAAAAAGTCGAGTTTAAAGTTCACGTCATTGGCGTACCGTCACCGTCGATATCTTGGTATAAAGACGGTTTTGAAATTTTTAGCAGCAGGAGAACGAAAATAATTACCGAAGAGGACTACAGCACTTTTATCATACATCAGGCTGCGTTGGAAGACGAGGGAGAAATCAAATGCACGGCAACGAACAGAGCTGGTCACGCCGTCACCAAAGCCACGCTAAAACTTCAAGGTATTCATGAATCGTCACCAATGTGTGTGTGTGTGCGTGTGTGCGTGAACGAATTCAAAGGTTTTTCAAATTTTTAATTTAAGCTCCGCCGAGAATAAGGTTACCACGACAGTACGAAGATGGTTTGATATTTAAAATGGGAGATTCTATAAGGTTAAAAATAACGACAGCCGGAAGACCCAAACCCGAAGTAAATTGGTACCACAACGGTGAAATGATAGAAAAAAATGATAGGATAGACATAGTTAATTCGGAAACGGGTTCTATGCTTAAAATAGACAACGCCTGTAGGAATGACAGGGGAGAATATGTTATTGTGGGAGTTAACAAAATAGGAGATGACACAGCATCTTTTTTAGTAACCGTTACAGGTATGGTGGTTGTTGGTGTTGTTGTTTTTTTTTTAAAAAAATAATCACTTTTAAAATCAATTTTTTGCTATATAAGATCGACCCTTGCCACCGGGAAATGTACGAGTAACTTTGGAAGGTAAAAATGTTAATCTGACATGGACGTGTCCAGAAGATGACGGAGGTTGCAAAATAGGAAGTTTTATAATAGAATATTTTAGGGTAAACGTAAAATTCACTTGGTATTTTTCCACGTTTTTCTTTTACTAAAAATTTTTTCTCTCTCTCTCTCTCTCTAACCCAAGGTTGGATGGGACATGTGGCTAAAAGCTAAAAACAGTCGTCAGTTATTCGTCACTTTGGAAAATCTTATAGAAGGTTCACAATACAAATTTAGAATCAGAGCGGAAAATCCCTACGGCATGAGCGATCCGAGTGAAGAATCCGAATTAATATTTATACCGGATCCGAAACGTGGATTATTACATCCTCCACCGATAATGGGAGAAATGTCGAAAATAATAACGCGAAGCGATGAAAATTTCGAAAGGAAAAAAACAAAAGATGAAAAAAATTACATCAAACGACAATTGTTGGAAGAAAAAGCAAAAAAATTATTAGATACTCCTCTGTCGGAATTGTTGTTGTCTCAAAATAATAATAATAATATAGATTCGGAAATGTCGACTGAATCCATTCCCGTTTTTTCCGGTCAAGAAAATTTACCGCCGACCGTTCCGAGAAGGAAAAATAAAGGAAAAAAAAGATTGAATTTAAATCCTGCAGTTGCGGACGAGGATGGGATTGATAAGAGGGCAAAACTTAATCCCGAACATCCCGAGGATTTCGAGGATAAAAGGGATTCGGTTGGGAAAATGCATTTTGATGACGTTTTTGATTCCAATAATAAAGTCGACGGTCCTAAAATGTCTTATTATTTTCAAGAAAAACAACCTCACGCCCTCGAGACGCCCCTATACCCGAGAGAAAATGACGACACGATAATGCACGGAAGTTCTGAGCTCATGCTTGTTTTATACCCACGTGATCGTTCGAAAAGTGTCGAACTCAGTAAGTTGACTACTTATTAATTTACTATTGAATTATATTTTAAAAGTATAAATGATTATTATTATGGTTATCAGGTCCTCAACAACGTTTGGACATAGAAAGAAGTTTGAGAGAGGATGTTGTTCCACCTCCGATGTCTTTATCCGCACCCGAATTGAGTCTGACTGAAAATTTTGAAATGCCACCGTTGCGTAACGCGGTTAGTTCGACGGAATTACTCTACGAAAAAACCACAGAACGACTTTATCAGTATTCACTCCTTGACGATCAAACACCGACGGTCGTAAGACGACAGCAACAAGGCGGAGATAAAAAATCATCATTGGAAAAGAGGTCCAGTCTGAAAGAAGCCATTTTAGAAAGACGACTTAGTTTGAGAGACTCGCAAATGGAAAATTTGAACGCTAAAGAAAATACAACGGAAAACGAGAGTCGATCGAAAAGTTCTGACGTGCAACCGCCACAAACCATCCCGAAGAAAAAACCTAAAAATGAAAGGTTGAATTCGGTGGAAAAAGAAAGGATAGAATTTGCATTGGTGAGAGAAAGGTTACAAAAGAAAAAAGATGAAAAACGTTATCATTTGTTTGGATCTACCGATACGACGACAACGACAACAACAACAACAACAAATTCGAGTTCGTACGAATTTGAAATAACTGATGAAGACGAACCAAAAATTTATAAAAATAAATACGCGAGCGGAGAAGAAGAAGAAGAGGAAGAGGAAGAAGGAGAAGAAGAAGAAAGTAAAAAGTATCTACCAAATCATAAAATGTTAAATTTAAAAACTTCCATGTCGGACACAATTATTTTTCCACCAATCAAAAAAAATTCTTCGCCATTTAAAAAAGAACCGGAAATACGAGGGAGTAATGATATAATAATAACAACGGATAAAAACAATTTAACGATGACAAATAATAATAATAATAATAATTTAGAAAATGATAACGCTCATAAAAATCAAATATCAAAAAGTTTACCCATTTTCAACGCGAAAACAAAAGATGAAGAAGATGGGGAGGAGGAGGAGGAACTCGTACGACGAATTCCACAACAAAAGAAAATTAAAAAAGCGACAACGAAATTATTTAAGAAAATAGGTTTGAAAAAGAGTAAAAAAGTACCGGAAGTAACGGTGACGCCGGCGGATCCGAGTCTTCCACTACCCAAACCCATTCTTAAAAACCCGAAAACAATATTACCAACTCAAAAACAAAATTCATCGATGAGTAATTTAGCGGTGAGATCAAGAAATCCCTCTGATAAATCGATGAGCGAAGACGATTCGGAAAGTGAATTTCCGGGTAAGAAGAAAAAAGTAAGGATATCGGAACCCAACGAAAAAGAAAAAGAAGCAGAAGAAATCAAGGAAAAATCCATGGATGCCAATTCTGTCGAAAATCAAGTATTGATTTTTCATTACAATGATATACTCAAAGAATTTGGAAGTAATAAAGGACCCCCTAAAAAATCCACGAAAACGTCACAAAATTTTCAAGTTAAATTGAGTGATGAAAAAGGGGATTCCCCGGTTGAAAATCCGAAAGGATCGAAACAAGGGGAAAACGTTAAGGGATCACCGATACCACCTAAATCGTCGCCGTCGTCATCGGTGTCGGTGCTACCACAACCACCGTCACCATCACGGTCATCGTCATCATCACCGTCACCGTCACCATCATTGTCACCACAACCACCACCGTCACCATCACCATCACCGGCATCCTCACGACAATCGTTAGAACCTCTTAAAATTTCAACTCCATCGCCATCGAACCCGTCGAAATCGAATTCCGGAGTCGCTCCGAAATTTTCATATTTCGAATATTTAACCGACCTCGCCATGTTTTTTCTAGCATGTTGGCTTTATCTATTCAATAACGAACTTTACGCCATTCCTGTACTTTGTTTAATGACCTACAGGCAAACAAAAGATAAAATAATTAAAAATTATAAACAAATAAAAAATTTTTTTTCGAATCAACAAATTCCGGAAGGGGAGGAAGAATAGGAAAAGGAAGAAGAAGGGAAAAAATAAGAATATGAATGAATCCGGGGGAGGCATCAAATTTTATCATTATTATCATTATTATTATTATTAATTTTTCCTCATTACAAAGCACACAAAAAAAAAAAAATAATAATAAAAAACTTTCACTGTAAATAATTTTCGACTAAAATGTCAATTTTTTTTTTAATTTTTTTTTTTTTTTGTGACGGATGAAAAAAAAACAATAAAACATTATTATTATTATTTTTTTAAAAAAAACTTTTTTTTTTGTTTTTTTTTTATACCTCGAAAACCTTAAAAAAAAATTAAAAATGGCTTCTTTATCATCATCGACCTTTTAAAATTAATAATAAATTAATAATTTTTAGGATTTGAAAAAAAACGGAAACGATTCATCGGTGAAAGCACCGGATAAAGAATCGGGAAAGATTTGGAATAAGATTCTAGAAAATTCCAAGACATATTGTTAGAAGTAGTTATAATAATAATAATAAGGATTTGTGAATCTCACTTCTCGTGTTCCTGGCTCCACTCCACAGGAATCAGTCACTGGAGTCTAGTACAGGAGAGAACTCGTTTCTATCGAATAAGATGGTCTCAGTGAGACTTAGAAGAATTGTTGTGATGCCATAGGTTATAACAAGACGAAAACTACTCGAGTATCACTTACATTCAGGTACTTATTCCTTAGGGATCAACGGGTTTGAAACCTGGAATAAATGATGAAAAAGTTTCATTAAGACGATTTGTCACGATTATGAATGAAAATAATAATATTGATACTCAATCGTAAAAAATGAAACGACAAAATGCAATTGCATTTTTAATTGAAATTTAAATTTATTCCCTCCTCCACTCCTTCTTCCCCCTCACCCGTTTCCCGAAGCATTATTTTTCAAATTTTGTTTTACCAGACAAAATTTATTAGAATTTTTTTTTTTAATAGTATTAATTAAAAAAAATTTTTAATTTGTTTCGAATTTAAAATTAAAAAAAAAAAAACACGTACCTCCCTCCCTCTCGTCTCCTTCCTCGCTTGTACCTCCCTCCCCCGCGTATACGCCTTCGGGACGTAGGAGGAGCACGGGAAAAAAATTTTTTTCTATTTTTTATAAATTTCTGTCGTCATGCGCTTTGAATTTTGGCTGCCGTTCATCAAACAAACACCGTCACGGTTTTATCCCCAGCTTTTTTGTAAGCCAGTTACACGCACACACACAAAAAAAAAATTATTATTATTATTATCATCATCATCATCATCAACAAGTTTTTTTTTTTCGACAGAGGGGTGGGGGATATTATAACGTTGTTTTTAGTGTTAAATAAATAATAAAAATTCACCCGCGTAAAAGTGGTGTGCGTGTGTTTATTAAAAAAAAAAAAAACGAAATTTTTTTTTTTTTTTTTTCGTTATTCGAAAACGTGTTTGTGGTGTTAAAGTAATAATAATAATAATAATAATAATAATAATAATAATAATAATAATAATAATAATAATAATAATAATAAATTAAGTGTCGTTCGTTTCTTTAAAAAAAAAAAATTTCCCCCCCCCCACATCCCGGATTTGTTTTTTTTCGGTTGTTGTTTTAAAACAAACGCAAAATTTTTTTTAGTTTGGTTTGGTAAATATTTTTATAACGTAAAAAACCGGTAAAAATTATTCATTTTATGATTATCATTATTATTATTATTATTATTATTATTATTATTATTATTATTATTATTATTATTATTATTATTATTTATTAGAGATTAAAATTATATTTAAAAAAAAAAATGGTGATGACGTAAAACAACAACAAATTTTTATTTGTTTTTATTTATAAAAAAAAAATTAATTGATGGATTTGAATATACCTACTACTCACCCACCCCGTATTGATAACTCTTATCACACTGTTGTAATAATAATAATAATAAGTTTTAATATTATTAAATAATCGTCTGTTGTTACGTTTAACCCCCCCCCCTTAAAAACCTTTGATTTTTCTCTTGTATATATATATTATAAATAAAATAAAATTTACGTTTATTATCATGAAACAAAATAACACTTGGTAGCCATAACATTTATAATATATTTCTAATAATATAACTTTTATATTTTATTTATGTATTTATGTATACTAATAATAATAATAATATATATTTATATATTGGAGAAGAGTTGAAAGGATTTAAATATTTTTGTTATATATATATTAATAAATTTAAATGGAATTTTTTCGAAAAAATTTAAATTTTTTTTCACGTGGTCTTAATACAATAAATAAAATTTATTATTGTTTATATTATTATTATTATTTATTATATAAAAAATTGTTAAAACGGTTTTTTTTTATATTAGCCGGGGGAGGGGGTATTCCTGTAATCCAATTACTCAGAGGTTGGGTAGAAAGAGGATGTTTTTAGGGTTGGGGTTGTGGGATTGGATTTTTTACTTTGAATAGGCGTCCGCTAGGGGTGAATGTTCAGACTGAACGCTTTGGGGGGAGATAGGTTGATTGAGGAGAGGCAGAAATTTGTTCAGAAAGGTTTTCGTGTTGAGAGTCGCGGGTTCGAATCCTGAGAGTGAGAATTTTGGGTTTCGGTCGTGTATTTTTTTAAGGAAGGGGATCTAACACTTTTTCAAAGTATTGGGGAAAGTATGGAGTCTTGGTATTGTGTAGGGGGTTGAGGCTAAAATGAGGGTTAAACTCCCACGGGGGTTCCCTAAAAGTTCACAAAAATTTTTTTTTTTTATTTACGTTCGAGTAAAAACCATCGATTCCATTTTTGGTTTGTTTTTTTTTTTTGGTTTTTTAATTTAAAAAATGATAAAAAATTTTAACATTGAATATATATGATTACGTACATGATAATGAATGAATCAATCAATCAATCAAAAAATCTTTTTTTTCAAGGTCATTATAAATGTTTTACCCTGAAACGTTTTTAAAAACTTTTTTTTTTTTCATGCCGTTGTTTTTGTTGTTGTTTTTTTAAACTAAAAACGTTTTAAATTGAAATTTTTTTTTTTTTTTAATTTCAATTAATTTATTTACGTTTGATTTATTTATGTACATAAATAAATAAATAAAATTTAAAGTTAACAAACAAAAAAACCGGTTTTAAAAATATTTAAATAAAAATAAATTTTTTTTGTAATTTGTTGCAACAAATAATTGTTGGCAATAATTATTATTTTAAAAATATTTATTGTTATTTATTTATTTATTTAAATAATTACCGGTGCGTTTTTTAGCTTTTGCGTATTTTTAACAAAAATTAAATTTTTGCACTTATTGTTTAAACAAAAAAAAACCGTTAAAAAAAAATAATAATAATTTTAAAAAATTAAAAACAACTAAGAGGAAGGAAGGAAGAGGAGGTATTTGTTGTGGATTTTTTTCATTTCCTTATTAAAATTATTATTTTATACTTTTTTGAACGTTTTCCATTTATTATTATTATTATTTTTTGTCTTTTTAGTTTAAAAATTAAAAAAAAAAAAAAAAAAATACGTTCGACCTAAATTTTTACGAACGTCTATTAATAACTAAAACAATGCATGAGAATCACACACACACACACGCACGTTTTCATCTGTCAATTTTTTCTTTTTTTTTTGTTCTTTAATAAAAATTTATTATTATTATTATTAATTTTTAGCAGCCGAAATATGGTTTATATATTTCGTGACGAATAAAAAAAAAAAAAAATAAATTTCAATTATAAAAAATTTTGTTTAAATAAAATGCAAATAAGGGAAGGAAAAAGATGACGATACTAACAGGTATTTAAAAACATTACAAAGAATTTTTTTCGGTGTTGTGTGTGATGGAAAAAAAAAATTGTTTGTTTGTTTAAGAATTAACATCGCAATGGTTGAGTCCAGCACCACCGGGACTTACAAATCCAGAACCTGGAACGTGGATATCAGTTCGTTTGGGAGAAGATGCTTTATTGGAAGTTGAAAAAACTCCTACATCGGGTCCAATCATTCACTTGTCATGGTGAGTGAATCAATCATTCATTTTTTTTTTTTTTTACGATTGAAAAAAAATGTCAAAGAGACAGCAGACGAAAGAATAAGAATAAGACAATGACGACGACGACACAATAATAAAAAATGCAACCGAAAAAAAGAAAAAAAATTTTATATGGATTTGTACGTTTAAAAAAAAAAAAAGGATTTCGATCGACGACAGACGTAAAATTAGCCCACACTAAACGAATGCCAATTATTTTTGTAACTTTTTTTTTTTCGTTTTTCTCTCTAAATGCAATCCAAATAATTTCTTTTTTTAATATTTAACGTTTTTGAAGGTTAAAAAAAAATTTTTCTTTTTTTTTTTGTTTTTAAATAAATAATTGACATGGGCCGTCGTGGCGGCAGCACACGTAACGGTTCCAATTTATTTATTTTTTTCTTTTTTTTTGTTTTTAAATACGCCGAAAAAACTACAAAAAATTCGTTAAAAAAATTTTTTTTTTTTTCTATTTCTTCTTTTTTATTGCCAATAGAAAAATACTCTTTTTTTTTATCATTTCGGTTTTATCAAATAACAAAATAGCAAAAGGGACTACAGCAAAAAGAAAAATACATAAAAACTTAATAGAATTTTATTTTTTAATCAATGAAAATTAATAATGTAATAAAAATTGATCTGAAATGATCGCGGTACGCGAAGTTGTATGTAACGCAAATTGCATTTTTTATAAATTTAAGGCGTTTTTTTCAAAAAAAAAAAAAAAAACAAACAAACAAATTTAAAAAACTATTAATAAATATTTTTTTTTTTTAATAATATTATTATTATAATCACGATTTTCGTAATTAGGCGTTTAAATTAAAAAGAGAAAGAGAGAGAGAGAGAGAGAGAGGAAGAACGTGTATATGGCGGAATAAATATATATTAATATTAAATTTAAATCAACCGAAAAATTTTTTTAAAATTTTTTTTTTCGCTCGATGTTATTTTAAGAAAAAAAAAAATTTCGAATCTTTAAATTCGAAAATGATCAGAGAGAGAGAGACGGAAAATATAAAATATTAGTTAAACATGTTGTTTCCTCTTCTTCATTCTCGTCTCTCTTAAAAGAAAATTTTTTTTTTTTTTACTCTCGCGAATCTTTTTACAAGACGCCACCACCGACGACTATTAAGACTACAACAACAACAAAAACAACAACAACGACAGCGACGTGCGAGAGCGTCGCAATTCATTTATTTTTATTTCATTATTATTATTATCATTATTTTTATTTTATTTTTCTAAAAAGAAAGAGAAAGAAAGAAAGAGAGAAAGAAAGAAATAGAATAAATCAGTGCGTTTCGAAGAATGTGGACGCGGCCCGTGTACGCGTTTGACGTGATTTTCATTTTTGCAAATTATTTCAGATTAAGAAGGAAAAAAAATTTTTTTTTTTCTTTTATCCTACCGAAAGCATAAATTCGATATTATTTTCTTACCTATTTTTTTTTAAAACGTTTTATTTAATAAAAAAAAAATAGTAATAAAAAATTTGTGATGATGATGAATATGAATAACGACAATGATAAACAAACTGACATCAATTCTTTTATCGTTAAGTAAATCAAATCGATTTTATATCGATCGTTAACAATAATAATAATAATAATAATAATAATAATAATAATAATAATAATAATAATAATAATAATAATAATAAAAGAAAAAAATGGGATCGAAATGTTGCAAATGTAGTGACAAAAATTTAAAAACTGAGGTCGCGTCCAAATCTTCTGGCTCATCAATTTATTCACCAACAAAAAGGTAAAAAAAAAAATTTTTATTTTTATTTATTCGTTCGATAAATAATTATTATTATTATCGTGTTCATCATAATTATTATTATTATTGTGTTTTTTACGAGATGATACGAATGGAAAAAAAAATTATTTACGTAAATAATACGATTTAAAAAATCTATTTAAAAAAAAAGAAAAAAATTTTCTTTTTCCCTCCAGTCATTTTCCAAAACGATTTTCTTAGGAAAATAATTTAAAAAAAAGAAATTTTTTTTTTTTGCGTGATGACGTAATGAGGACACTAAATAGTCTGCTAGATAATTGTAAACAAAAAAATTTTCTTATTTTTATTTTTAGTTAAAAAAAAAAAAAAAAAGTCCAAGGCGAAGAAGAAGAAAAGTTAATAATAATTAATTTATTTTTAAATAATTAAAATCTAGTTTAAAAAATTTATTTATTTTTTGTTATCGTAATAAATTATTATTATTATTACTTTTTTTCTCTTCTGAATGGTGACGTCATTATTTCCAGTAAAAATTTAACGTTGATAATGTAAAATTCGTGAATTATTCGTCGGAAAATTTAAAAGTGAAATTTTCTTTTATTTAAAATTAAATTTTTAATTTTGTGTAAAAATAAAGTATCGATGAAGTGTCAATAGATAATAAATTAAATGTCGTGTAATTAAAGTTTAAAAAAAAATACTATATTGTGAATTATTAATAAAAAAAAAAAAAATTGCGGAAAAAAAATCTGTGAGGGGAAAAATATAAATTTTCATTCAACTTTTTTTTATTTTGTTTTGTTCGTTTTATTACGTAAGCTTAACGTTAATAAATTTGAAAAAAAAAAACGTGACGTGACGTAACGAAAAATTTATTCATTCCAGTCAAATAAAAAATTTAAATTTATTATTACGTCACAAATAAATAAATAAAAGAAGAGGAGAAAGAAAAAAAAGATGAAAGAAGAAATTTTTTATTTAAAAAAAAAAAATTTATCCCAACATGTCTTTCAACCAGATTTTTTTTTTTTTTTTTTTGAATTGATTTCAATTGGTTACATTTGTGTTCATCGGCCATTTTAAGAATTTTCTGCCAGTTAAAAGCTTTTTGGCATTAATTACGATTTTTAAAAAAAAATTTTTTTTCCCTTCCCTTCCCCCCTCTTTGAGTGTAACGACAACAACAACAACAACAAACACATTCGTATAATAATTGATTTTAATAAATGGACGTGTTTTTAAAATTTTAAATTTAAAAAATCAAAAGTGATGAGTGATTATTATTATTATTATTAATAAATAAAATGAATCAAAATATATTTGGGAAAATTTACGAACTTTATCGTGATTTTCTTTTTGGAAAAAAAAAAAATTTATTTTTATTATTTCCGGTAAAGAAAAAAAATTTCAAATCACCATTTTACGTTCTCGTACAAACGACAAATTATCAAATGCATATTTTAAGGTTTGTTGGTTATTATTATCATCATCATCATCATCTTCTACCACGTGTTTTTAAAAAGAATTTTTTTAAAATAATAAAAAAAAATTTATTTTAACGTAAAAAAACATTTTTATTATCAATTTAAATTGATTTATCGATTTTTTTTTATTTTTCGTTTTAATTATAAGATAAAAACGCGGGAAGAATTTTTGAAAAAAAAAAAAAAATATGGCGGCCGATCGGGATTAATTATGTAGAATTCAAATTGAAAATTTTTCCTTCGTTTCCGCGTTTAAAAAACGGGGGGGAAGGGAGGGAACGGAACGAATTATTAAAGAATGAGTGAGAGACGTCTTTATGACTTTTTTTTATTTTTATTTTATTTATTTTTTGTTCAAGGGTCAAAGGAACGAAACAATTAGTCGGAGATAGATATTTTGTAGGAGAGAATAACAATACGGTTTATTTGAACCTTCAAGGTGTTACTCCCGATGATGCTGGAGAATATACCGTAACGGCTAAAAATATTGCGGGTGAATCACAAAGCTCAGTGAAATTACGAATTAAGGATTCCGAAGATGACGAAACTCCGATATTTATACGAAAACTTAACGATTTATCTGTTAAAGTTGGTACGAGAACAAGATTTTTAGTGGAAATAAGAAGTTCCACTGATTTAAAGGTAAAAAACGCAAATGAGGAGGAGAAGGGAAGGAGGGGATTTTGTTGGATGAGTTTGTTCTGCCACTTTACATCCTCCTCCTTCTCCTCCACCTTTAAAATATTTTTTTTTTTTTTTCATTCAATGTCAGTTTAAAAATTTTTTTTTTTTTTGGCCGGATATCAAAAAGCGTAAAAAGATTTCAAAAGATTCGCTTACGTCACATGTTTTTTTTTTCATCCAGGTTGTGTGGTATAGAAATGATGTTCCTATTTTTGAAAACGATAGGTATCATTTTCTTCACGAAGGCAACTTTTTTTGCGTAGACGTTGCTCCCGTCACCGTCGAAGATGGAGGACGTTGGGCATGCGTTGGTGAAAATCAAGTCGGTAGAGCTTCTTGCTCTTGCAGATTGAACGTACTCATACCGAAAGCTTATTCTGCACCGAATTTTATCGAAGAATTAAAAGCCGTTTTGAGCAATCAAGGTACGGTGTCTTTAGAATGTAAAGTTATCGGCGTACCCACTCCGGTATTAAAATGGTACAAAGATGGTAAAGAAATCAAAGCCGGAGACATGTTTGCACTGACGGCAAATCCCGATGATCCCACTTCTTTGGGTACATATACGTGCGAAGCTGTTAATTGCATGGGTAAAAGTTTTTCATCGTCGCGGGTACACGTTATGGGTAGAGGTAGTAGAGAGGGTTCTTTAAAGCCGGCCGATTATCCATCCATAACCGGTCCTCCTCCTCATTTTTCCCAAGAACTTAAAAATGAAAAAGTTAAAATTGGATCGACTCTTAATTTAAATTGTCAAATCGATGTGCCACCCTGGCCTAGGACCATACACTGGTATAACAAAGAGGGAAAAGTGGAACCGAGTGAAAAATATCACATCATGGAAGATGGTCTTGGTGGTTATTCAATAGAAATATATCCATTAGAAGCCATTGACGAAGGTGAATGGAAATGCGTGGCAAAAAGTGACACCGGAGTCATGGGAATCAGTCAGTGTTTTGTAGAAATGTCATGTAAGCATTACAACGATGCCCCCCCCCCAAAAAAAAAAAAACTTAAATTTTTCATTTTTTATCAATGAATTTATTTATAAATTTCAGATCCTAAAAATTATCGTAAACCAAGATTTTTAGAAAGTCTAAAAGCCATTCTTACAGATGAAGGTTTAGTATCGTTCGAATGTAAAGTCGTAGGTTTTCCAACACCTCAACTTCAATGGTTTAAAGACGGACAAGAATTAAGACCTGGAGACGTTTACCAATTGACCGGTACAAATTCTTTAGGTTCTTATTCTTGCATAGCTAAAAATTGTATGGGAGAAGCAAAAAGTACGGCCGAGTTAACCGTCGAAGATATACAATACCAATTAAACGACGAAGAAAAATCATTATTATTTTCTAAAAATCAACCTCCGAGATTTATACGGGGTCTTAAAAGTTGCGAGGCTTTAATTAACGAAAATTTCAGGTTTACCGTCAAAGGTAAAAAAAAAAATTTTCTTCTTCTGCTTTTTTTTTTTTTTAAGAGAAAATTTTAATTTTAAATTTTTTTCCTCCCTTTTTTTCAGCTACGATTGTACCGACGGCTGATTTAATCTGGTACAAAGATGATAAAAAAATTGAAAAATCCGATGAAAGGTTTTTGATACAGCAGGAGAATTTAGGCGTCTGCCATTTAGATGTTAAAAAATTAGACATAACAGATCAAGCCGAATGGAAATGCGTTGCGACAAATGAATTCGGACAAAGCGTCACATCCGGATTTTTGAAATTAATCATTCCAAAACATTTTAAAAAGCCAAGATTTTTAGAATGTTTAAGAGCTATACTTACGGAAAAGGGTGCCGTGAATTTGGAATGTAAAGTTATCGGCATACCCCAGCCAACCCTTAAGTGGTTTAAAGATGGTAAAGAATTAAAACCTGGTGATATACATAAGATTATTTCCGGACAGGATGGTACTTGTTGTTTGGGTACTTACACATGCCAAGCGGAAAACTGTATGGGTTCCGTATCGAGTTCGGCTTCTCTTTTAGGTTTCGAAGGTAAATAAGAAAAAAAAGGACCGGTTTTCTTAGTCGAAAAGAAAATTTTAATTGTTTTTTTTTTTTTAATAACAGATCGTGCTGCTAAAAAACAACCGGTATTGTACAAACCGGAATTAAATTTAGCCAAAAACACATCATTGTCGACCATTAACGAAGAAAGAACGTCACAAATGTACGACACTCCATTAAGTGAACATTCTATAACTGCCGATGAACGTGGTGACGTTTCATTTTCCTTTGATGGTAAAGAAGTTTCGATATCTTTATACGAAACTCCCGATTTGACGGAAGAAGAAGCTCTTCAAGTTGTCGAAATGTATGCTGATGAACTCTCCGAACACGTTTCAGGTAAACAAAAAAAACATTAACGTCGAATCGGTAAATAGGTTCGGTAGGGTACCTGATGACGAATTTCAATTTTTTTTTCAGAACAAAACGTAGTAGAACTTCCTCCTCTTCGTTTTACCAAAGAATCTTCAAAATCCGGTCCTCTGTTGATGGAAGCAGTGGTTATAGACATAACACCCGAATATTTTTCATCCGCTGAAGATGATTTAAGAACGGAAGCGGATTTAGAAGATGTTTCTATGGTTGAAGAATTACAACATGTAAAAACTCAATTGGTCGCAGAAGGACCGGCTTACGAAAATATCGAATATAATTTAACGGAAAAAAGTTTTAAGAATTTACAAGAGCACCAGCATAAAACGTCGAATAAAAGTTCGGAAAATTCGGAAAAAGATTCTTTTAAAAGTTTTTCAGACAATAAAAATAACGATGCGACGATGACGGACGTATCATTTTCAAGCGCAAAAGAATCCAATCAAATGGGTAAAGATAATAAAAGAAAATTAAAAGATGAAAACACGAGTGGTAAAAGAAAAAAATCAAGATCTCGTTCAACATCGAAAGAAAAACATTTACGACAAGAAAGAAAATGTTCGAATAATGATTCCGCCGCAATCGTAACTCAAAAGAAAACATCGAAATCGAATACTCCGGAATTACCGGATGAAATACGAAAAAATAAAAAAAAAAGGAAAAACGTAACGGAAGTTAATGATGAAAAGAAAATGACTGACAACGAACGGGAAGATGTGTCAATAGAAGAATTCACATCGAGTCAAGAACGAAAATTATCTTCCTCCGAAGAAAAACAAATGAAAAAAAAAAGATCAAAATCGAAATCGATGGAAAAAGATGATGAGTCGATACCTAAACCTCCGGCAAGAAAAAAAAAATTATCGAAAACTATTTCACCCCCCGATAGTAAATTAGAAGAAACATCCGGTAGAGGAACGGAAAGTAATAACGCAAGTGATAACGTAATCAATACGATAGACCACGTGTCTGATAAGAGAGTGGAAGCGTCAACCCGTGAACAAATACAAAAACAATCATCGGACAGTTTAGAATCGACAAAAGAATCAGATTCGAATATTGAAACCGAAATGGAAAGTTTTAAAAGAAATGAAAAAAAATCACGTTCGAGATCATTGTCGACGGAAACATCATCATCTCAAAGGCGTAAAAGTAATAAAAAACAAAATGAAAAATCTTTTGAGGAAAACAATGAAAAACAATCGGAAAATAATAATTTGGAAACGTGTAAAAGTGACGTCAAAACAAAATTACCGTTGATTTTATATAAAAACATAACAAAATCATTGAGAGAAATCGATGAAGATTTAAAAAAATTAGAAAATCAAATTCAAACGAAATGTTTGACAAACGTCACATCCGTTTCCTTTGAAAAATTTACAAACTCTATGGAAACGTTTAAAAAATGTTTTGAAACTATCGGGGAAAATTTAAAAACGGATACAGAAACTCAATCGAACGTACAAATTTTACAATTGATTGATCGTCCACTTCAAGACCTTAAAACCGGTTTAAAATTACTCGACGAGAAAAAAACGGATACGGATGTGGGAGACATATTGGAAATATTTCGTCTCGTTCTTAATCATTTAAAAAATCAAACGGCGGAAATAAAAGAGGTCGAAGGTCGTCAATCAATGACGGATGAATTTTTAAAAATATCAAAACCGTTAGAATCTATAATAAATTCAACGGATTCATTAAAATTAGAATTATCGCAAAAATTACAAAAAGGCGATAAATCGAAATTATCGATCGAGTTATTGAGAATTCTCGTGCAACCGGTACAAGCGTTAAAAAGCACCGTCGAATTGTTGGAAGTCAATGCGGATAAAGATGGCGGTGGAATTTCGACAGGCGGTTTAGCCGAACCCATACAAAATTTAAATTCTACGTATAGTATTATAGAACAACACGCGGATCAAAATGCTGGAGAACAATCGATATCGAAAAAAATCATAAAAATTCTTTCTCCTTCCATAAATCGAATCAACGAAACGATAAAATCATCGACGAATGTCCTGGATAAAAAAAATTTTCAAATATTATCGGAACAAGTTGTGAAAATTCATAAAGAATTAGCTAAAATGGTACAGGAAATGTTTTTCTCACCGTCAAAATCCAAATCACCGGTGAATAGAGATTCACTTCCGGTACTCATACACCTTTCCGAATGCATATCTCAAATATTAAATAATTTAACGGAGACGGAAACGGAAACGGTAGCGCAAACGACAATTTTAAAAAGGGAAATTTTCGAACCGATATTGGTGCCTTTGAAAGGTTTACAAACGACCATCGATCAATTTCAACAATTTACAGATGATGAAGAAATGTATTCGGAAATAATAACCGAACATTTACGAACTTTGGATAGATGTTTAATGAACGTAGAATGTAAGTTGGATGCACTGCCTTCTCGAAAAAAAGGCGAAATAAATAATGAAAATTTGAAACAAATAATCAACGAAATACGTAAAGAAATATCGTTGATATTTCGTTTCGTTGAATTCGGTGGCGAATCATCAGCCGAAGTTTGGAATTCTCTCGTGACGCCCCTACAAAAATTAAACGCTAATTTAACCGTTAAAAAATCAATTAAAAAACCGCCGTTGCACACATCGAAAAGCGGTTCGAGCTTGGGAAGATCGTTGGAAGTCATCAGGCAAACATCCGAAGAACAAAGTAAAATTGAAGTGTCACAAACGGAAGAACCGAAAATGAGTTTGACAGTTTTGAGACCCCTGGAAAAACCCCTGCAAGATCTCGAAGAAGGTTTCGGAATACTCATGCAACATATATTAGAAAGAGAACGTTTAACGGATGAAGAAAAACCGTTGATGGAACAAGAGGTACAAAAATTATTAGAAATATTATCCGTGTCTTTTGAAACATTTCAAGAAAAATGGTTGGGAGTGCAAAACGAGAGTCCTTCTAACGTTTCCATACAGGAAACAAACATCCTCCTACAACTTATAAACGAACTTAACAACGGTGCAAACGCTATACAGTCACAAATGATCGAGTACGAGGGTATATCGAACAAAGCCAAAGAAGTCATTAATGAAAATATTCATTCGAATTTGAAAAATTTAAAATCTTCAATATCGGAAGTTGAAAATGTCGTCAGACAAGAATCGTTGGAAACCATCGGAGAAATGAAAAAATTCAAATCGACCGTTGACGCGGTGAAAAACGAGATGAAAATTTTAGTGAGAGATTCAACGACGGATTCCGGCGAAACAAAAGTTTTAAATATAATATCGGAAAAGTTAAATAATTTGTCGGAAAATATAAAAACGTTTAAAATCGCGACGACGGAAACGGATTCCGATCAAATATTGGATGATGTAATTAAAAAAGTCATTTTAAATTTCGAAGAAGAAATCATGAACGTGTCGCACAATGTTAAAAATGACGTCAAAGAAGACGACGCGAAAGTTGAAAAAATACTCGAATGCGCCGAAGAATTGGCCATAACTCTCGTTAATAAAAATGAAAATTTAAAAATTGAAACTTTAAATTTCGTCACATCTGCTTTTGATAACTTTTCTAAACAAATAAAAGATTTGGTAAAATCTTCGGAGGAGAGTAAAGTAGTCGTTACCTCCGCACCTCCTCAAAATGAAGAAAAGACGATTGATAACGTCGAACTCGATTTACCAAAAGAAGAAGAATCTTCTTCCGGTGGTATAAAAGACGAGTATTCGGTATTGGAACCGATGAAACTTGTTCGATCAAACGATGAAATTATATCATCGGATGATAAAGAGGAAAATGATAAAACTCGACATATGGCACCTGATAGAAAAGTACAAGAACCTCCTCAAGCTGATACTCTCAAAGAAATAATTAATCTCATAAAAATTAATCTCGATAAAGTGGATTTAATTTCAAACGTGGAAACGAAAACGGTTAAAGATTCCTTAAAATCCCTTCAGGCTGTTATGAACACGATCGTGTTGAGTTCGGATGTTGAAGAATCAGCAATTATCATTTTGGAAAATCTCGTTCAACCTTTGAAAAATTTAAGCGAAGGTTTACAAACGATAAATAATTCATCATCAATTTTTTCGGAAATGTTGAATCCACTTGTGGATGCGGGGAAAAAATTATTTCAAATACAAGAAGAAATAAAAGGACAAGTAAATCAAATTGAAAAACCATGCGTAGTGGAAAAACTTTTAAATCCTCTTGAAAATCTTCAATTGGCATTAAGTCACATTTTAAATTATTCTAACGAATCGATGGTTTCCAAACCGGAAACGATGGGAAAATTAGAAAATTTAAGGGATTTGATATTGAAAAATATCGAATTGATATCCGAAATCGAAACTTTTACGGAAGAAGATAAAATTGATTTGATTTCCCCGCTGCAAATGATTCGGGAAAATATTTTAAATGTTGAAAATGTCGAAAATGTCGTCGTAGAAATCGTTAACAATTTGATAAATCCCCTAAAAGAAGTAGAAAAAAATTTAACGGATGTTAAGTCCAATACGTTAGAAGGAGTACAAATACTGGAACCGATAATAAAAATTCAAATTTTAAAAGATGATGAAAAAACAACCGGAAATGAAGAGAAAAACCAAAAATCGTCGAAAGAAAAAATATTGCTGGAAAATGTTTGTTTACTACAAGAAAATTGTAAAAAAATAAAATTGAAAAAATCTCTTCCTCCTCCTCCTCTTCAACAAGAATCAATAATAATAATGATAAATAATTTAACGGAAAAAAATATAAATACGATTTTAGAGAGTGAAATATTTAAATCGGAAATGAAAGAAGAATTGATAGAGCCGTTGAAATTTTTAGAAAGAAAAATGGAAAATGCGGAATGCGCAAACGAATGCGTAAATACGATTTCGAAAAATTTACAAATTGTTTTGGAGCAAATGTTAGACGACGTATTCGAAAAAACAAAAAAAGGAGAAGGGAAGAATTTCGAAGAAATAAAAATGGCCGTCGAGAAAATCAATAACGAATTAGAAAATTTACAAGAAGAAATAATAAAAAATATGGATGAGAAAAAAATATTACGAGAATTTATCGAACCCGTAAGTGCAATTCGAATCGGATTATCGAAAATAATCGAATGGATAAAAACGGATAAAGTTTTTTTAGAAAATTTAAATCCGTTGGAAGATTTAAAGGGGTTAAAAAAAGAAAATGGAATAAAGGTTATGAATTTAGCAGAAGAAAACATAGTCGCGATTTCCGGCAACGATTCGTTGGAACCTGAAGTCAAAGAATCTTTGATAGAATCGTTGAAAGAAATAGAAAATAAATTAGAAAGTGTCACTAGTGAGAGTGTCAATAGAAATTTACAAGTCGCGTTGGAAGAAATGCTTCATCACGTAGTTGAAAATGTAAAAAATATAGAAAGCGTTAAAGACTCTGAAGGTTCAGCGAATGTTCGAGAAGAGGTTAAAGATTTAAAGGTCGCCGTAAAAGAAATCAACGATAAATTAGAAAGCATTGAAAATGAAATAATTATTGAAAATTGTGATGAAATGAATAAAATTATCGAACCGATAGAAAAATTAAAAATCGGATTAACGAATTTAATAATAATGCCCATGGAGGAAGGATTAACGGATTATGATGATGAATCAAAATTAAAATCTTCAGAGAAAATGATTGAGGTCGTGGAAGAAAATATTAAACTCGTTGGCAACAGTCATATTTTACCGGAAAATGTTAAAATAGAATTGATAAAACCTTTGGAAAATTTTAAAGAAAAATTAAATGAAATAAAAGATGTTGAACCGAAATTATACGAAATTGTTGAAACTTTGGTAAAACCTCTTCAGACGTTAGAAACTACGAAAGCAGATGAAGAAAATTTAAAAATGGCGACGCTGCAAGGATTACAATCTTCCATAAAAAAAGCACAAGAAGAAATTTTCACATTACGCGAGGAAGCTATAAAAGAAACGACAGACGAAGATCTCCCTCGTGATAAACAAAAAGCAGAAGTTTTATCGACGATGATAAAATCATTGGAACCGTTAGAAATAACCGTTTGTGAAATTATTGAAAATGTAAATTCCGTCCCGACATCACCGCCATCTTTAAATGTTTCGGTAACAACAATTGACGATGATTCCAGTTCAAAAGGATTCGTCGCAAATTTGGAAAATCCGTTAAAAAAACTAAAAGAAAAAGCTGAAATTTTACAAACTGCTTATTTATCAGATGAAATATTAAAATTTGCTGACGATAAAATAAGCAAACCGTTATTTGATCTCCAGCAATGCGTTGCGAATGTTAAAATTGAAGAAGGTGTAAACGAGGCTGCCATTTTGAAACCTATTGAAGATGTAAGGTTGGGTATAGAGGCTGTGAAACAAAAAATTAATGAAAAAATTAATAAAACCGACGAAGTGGTTAAAAGTGACGTAGAACTGCTGAAAAATCTATCAGACTTTTTAAACGAAATGACGGAAAGTCTAAATAAACCGATTGTGATTGAAAAAGATGTAACGAGGACCGATGACAATGACAAAAAAGACAAAAGTACAGACGTGAAATCGGAAAAAGTTGCCGACGATAATCGTCAGACGGAAATAAAGGAAGACAAAAGCGTTAAAGAAGAAAAATTAAAAGTTCAAAAAGCTCAGGAAGAAGTTTGTGATGACCTGAAAGAAAAAGCAGAAGACAAAGTTAAACAACAATCTCATTTGAATCAGGTGACGGATGCCCAACAATTAGAATCGTCAGATGATGTTTTGCTGTCGGTTATAAAAAGTGTAACCGAATGTTTAGCTTTTCCAAAATCAGAAGAAATTTCACGCGTAGAAGAAACTTTAGATTTAATTAAATCCATCGAAGATCTGAAAACTAAAATCGAAGCGAACGTGGTCCCTCGCGAAGAGTTAGAAAATCTAATCGAACCAATGGAAAAATTAAACGTTTCGATAAAACAAGCTGAGAAAATTTTAGAACAACCTTCTGAAAAATTGATTGAACAAGTACAAAAATCAGCCGAAGAAGTTAAAAATGAAATTAATAATTTAAAAAATGAATCTTTAGATTTAAAAACACCGTGCGATAAACAAATGGAACCTTTTAAAATTACAAAAGCAGAAGAAATAATATCTTTTGAAGAGGCACGTGATTTAGAAAGTCAAAAAGTGCCAGAATCCGAAAAAGTAGTCCCGGAATTGATAAACGTTATCGATAAAAGCGTTGCTTGTATTGAATCGAAAGAAATATTTCAGGTTGAAGAGGTTAAAAAATTAGTCGAACCTCTCAAAATGATAAAAGTTAAATTAGACGTGTCAAAAGAACGTGATGAAAACTTTGACGGTGTCGTACGACAAATTTTACAATCTATAATAAACGTGGAAAAAGAATTGGAAAAATTGGAAACCCTCGAACAAATTCCAGATATATCGGAAAAAATCGGTCAAATATGCGAATTAAACGTCACGACTCAAGTCGCAACCGCATTAAATACTGAAAAAGATTTTCAAAAAGCAGACGACGTTATTTTAACCGAAGTTTTTAATTTACCGTTACAAGAATTTAAGGTTGCACTTGAAGAAATTGGTCATTTGAAAATCATTCCGAAAGACTCGATTAAAAATGAACTCGTACAAACGATAGATGACAACGTGCAAACGATAAAAGATGTCAAAATACTAGCAGAAGACGTTAAGGAAAACATAATCGAACCGCTATTGGATTTAAAAGAAAAACTGGAGAAAACAAACGAAGAAAAAGATGAAAATTTTGGTCCTTTTAAAAATCTGAGCGCGTCTTTGAAAAATTTGAAGAACGCGCTCGAAGGATTTGAAAACGTGGAAGCAGAACAAATTGAGGAAACAATAAATTTACCGTCCGCAATAAAACTCATAGTGAATCCATTGTTGGAAACTCGAAATGAAATCGCCGCGATTCAACAAACGATTGTTGTAGAACCGAAAGAAAACAAACAACAAACATTGGTAGAAGTTAAAGAACCTCTCGATAAATTATCAAAAGGTATCGAAAACGTTTTAGAATTTTATTCCGAATCGACAAAAGAATTAAAAGAAACGGAGAAGACGTTAGAAATCGTACCGGAAATAATTCAAATCATCGAAAGAAACATAAGTATTATCGAAAAACCGGAAGTTATCGATGAAGAATCTGTTAAAATGGGTTTGTTGGAACCTTTGAAAAAAATTCAAGCGACGTTGATTGAATCGAAATGTCAGGAAAAATTAAATGAAAATTTTGGAGGAATACTTACGGAAATGGTGATGCCATTGGAAAATTTTGAAAATGAATTGAAACTTTACGAAGAGAATAAATGTGAAAGTACTTGTACCTTGATTGAACCGTTACGTCATTTAAAACAAAATATTGACGTCATAAATGTACAAACGATGTGTTCAGGGGAGGAAGTAAAAGATATAGCGAAGCCGATGGAAGAACTTGAAAATTTCCTGTCGAAAATAATACGTGACGAAGAGGAAAAAGAAAAATCTCTAATAAAAAATAATATCGTTCGAGTTATCGAAAACAACGTCGCATCCATTCAAGAATGTTCAATCATTCACGATGACGTCAAAGAATCTTTAGCAAAACCTTTGAAATATTTACAAGCGGAAATTGTTGAAGTTGTAGAAAACGAATTGATCGATGCGAAAACAATAAAAATTATTGAAAATATATCAAAACCGTTTAAGGATTTCGAATCGAATTTAAAAATGGCGGAAATTGTTTTAACGGAAAATATACCGGAAGAAAAATGTAAATCTTATTTGGTAAAATCGATGGAAAATTTACAAGAGAAAATTACTCGAATTTATGAAGAAACGGAAAAATTATCCGGGGAAAAAAATATTTTACGCGTGGTTGAACCTCTTAAGGACGTCAAAATTGAGTTGGAAAAAATTCTTCAACCTCAAATTGGAAAAATTGTTGATGGTGATGATGATGATGATTCGTTTGTTAATTTAATCGATGGTTTAATTGAAAAAAATAAAAAGGTTGTTGTAATTAGTAATGATTTAAACCCGCTCGAAACGTCTTTGACAAATTTACAATCGGCATTAAGTGATAAATCGAAAAATGATTTCGAAATGATGAAAGTTATCGAACCATTGAAAGAATTGAAAAATGATCTGATGGAAATTTCTGAAAAATATCCAGAATCTCAACTGATAAAAGCGACGGAAGAAATCGCACAAAACATTATCAAATTCGAAAAAGAAAATGCTGTTGGGAAAGAAAATAAAGAAAAATCGTTTAATGATGTTGTATGTGATTTAACGCAACCTTTAATCCACCTTCATGAGGGTTTGATAAAAGTCATTGGAGGAAAAGAAGAAGTTTTAACAAATTTGGAATTGAAAAAACCAAATTATGAAAAAATTCCATTGGAATTGATTGAATTGATTGATAGTAATGTCGCACAAATAGAAGAGGTAAAAATGTTTGATCAGGTTGTCCGAAATGATTTAATTGATTCTATGAGTACTTTGAAAAATAAAATTTCTGCTATTCCTGAATCTGAAAATAAAGTTTTGTCAAATTTAGCAAACGTGGTAGAACCGTTTAAAAAAATAGACGAAAGTTTATTGAGTCTAAAACAAGCAGATTTGGAGGAAATCGATAAAAACAAAAATAAAGTCAATGATATATTAACTAATGTAAAAGAAGCTAAAATTAGTTTTGAAAAAACAGTGGAAACGGTACAAGAAAATATTACGAATAATTTGGAAAAAGAAGAAAAAGTAAAATTGGTAAAACAAATAATTGAACCTTTGGAAAAAGTTGAAATCATACTAACGGATATAATTAAAAACAGTGATATCGAAATTATTAAAAAGACAGAGGGAGAACAATTAAAAGCCAAGACAGTAAAAGAATTGGAAGATAAGAAATTAAAAGAGGAGGAGAAACTAAAAGATAAAAAATTAAAAGAGGAAGAAGAATCAAAAGCCAAGAAGCAGAAAGAGGAAGAAGAACAAAATGTTAAAAGTCAAAAAGAAGAAGAGGGCTTAAAGGCTAAAAAACAGCAAGAAGAAGACGAGTTAAAGGCTAAAAAATTAAAAGAAGAGGAAGAACTAAAAGTTATGAAATTAAAGGAAGAGGAAGAAGAACTGAAAGCTAAAAAACAAAAAGAGGAAGAAGAGCTGAAAGTCAAAAAACAACAAGAAGAAGAGAAACTAAAGGTCGAGAAACAGAAAGAGGAAGAAGAACTAAAAGTTAAGAAATTAAAAGAAGAAGAGGAAGTGAATGCCAAGAAAAAGAATGAGGAAAAAGAGTTAAAGGCTAAGACATTAAAAGAAGAAGAAGAACTAAAGGCTAAAAAACAAAAAGAGGAAGAAGAGCTGAGTGCCAAGAAACAGAAGGAAGAAGAAGAGTTAAAAGCTAAAAAATTAAAAGAAGAGGAGGAACTAAAAGCTAAAAAGTTAAAAGAAGAAGAAGAGTTATCCAAGCAAAAGAAGAAAGAACTAAAAGCTAAGAAAATCGAAGAAGAAGAGAAATTGAAGGCTCAGAAATTAAAAGAGGAAGAAGACTTGAAAGCCAAGAAACAAAAGGAGGAAGAAGAACTAAAAGCTAAGAAATTACAAGAGGAAGGGGAGAAATTAAAGGCCCAGAAATTAAAAGAGGAGGAGAAACTGAAAGCTAAGAAAGAAAAAGAAAAAGACGAGTTAGAAGCCAAGAAAAAGAAGGAAGAAGAAGAATTAAAAGCCAAGAAACAGGAAGAAGAAGAAGAGATGAAAGTTAAGAAATTGAAAGAGGAAGAGGAGAAAATAAAGGCCCAGAAATTAAAAGAGGAGGAGGAATTAAAAGCTAAAAGACTAAAAGACGAAGAAGAGCTGAATGACAAGAAACAGAAGGAAGAAGAAGAGTTAAAAGCTAAAAAATTAAAAGAAGAGGAGGAACTAAAAGCTAAAAAACAAAAAGAAGAAGAATTAAAAGCCAAAAAGTTAAAAGAGGAAGAAGAATTAAAGGCTAAGAAACAAAAAGAAGAAGAAGAAAAATTAAAAGCTAAAAAACAAAAGGAAGAAGAAGAATTAAAGGCTAAGAAATTAAAAGAGGAGGAGGAACTAAAAGCCAAAAAGTTAAAAGAAGAGGAGGAACTAAAAGCTAAAAAACAAAAGGAAGAAGAAGAACTGAAAGCCAAGAAACAGAAGGAAGAGGAAGAGATGAAAGCCAAAAAGTTAAAAGAAGAGGAGGAACTAAAAGCTAAAAAACAAAAAGAAGAAGAAGAATTAAAGGCTAAGAAATTAAAAGAGGAGGAGGAACTAAAAGCTAAAAAGTTAAAAGAAGAGGAGGAACTAAAAGCTAAAAAATTAAAAGAAGAGGAGGAACTAAAAGCTAAAAAACAAAAAGAAGAAGAATTAAAAGCCAAAAAGTTAAAAGAGGAAGAAGAATTAAAGGCTAAGAAACAAAAAGAAGAAGAAGAAAAATTAAAAGCTAAAAAACAAAAGGAAGAAGAAGAACTGAAAGCAAAGAAACAGAAGGAAGAAGAAGAACTGAAAGCAAAGAAACAGAAGGAAGAAGAAGAGATAAAAGCCAAAAAGTTAAAAGAAGAGGAAGAACTAAAAGCTAAAAAACAAAAAGAAGAAGAAGAATTAAAAGCGAAAAAGTTAAAAGAAGAGGAGGAACTAAAAGCTAAAAAACAAAAAGAAGAAGAAGAATTAAAAGCGAAAAAGTTAAAAGAGGAGGAGGAACTGAAAGCTAAAAAGAAAAAAGAAGAAGAAGAGCTGAAAGCGAAAAAGTTAAAAGAAGAGGAGGAACTAAAAGCTAAAAAGAAAAAAGAAGAAGAAGAGCTAAAAGCTAAGAAACAGAAGGAAGAAGAAGAAGAACTAAAGGCTAAGAAATTAAAAGAAGAGCAGGATAAATTAAACGCTCAGAAACTAAAGGAAGAGGAAGAACTTAAGGCTAAGAAACAAAAAGAAGAAGAAGAGCACAAAGCTAAGAAACAGATGGAAGAAGAAGAGTTAAAAACCAAAAAGTTAAAAGAGGAGGAAGAATTGGAGGCTAAGAAACTAAAAAATGAAGAAGAAAAATTAAAAGCTAAAAAACAAAAGGAAGAAGAGGAGTTAAAGGTCAAGAAGCAAAAAGAAGAAGAGCAGAAAGCTAAGAAACAAAAAGAAGATGAGGAATCAAAAGCTAGGAAAACAAAAGAAAAAGAAGAAAAGTTAAAAGCTAAAAAACAAAAAGAAGAAGAGGAAGTGAATGCCAAAAAAAAGAAAGAGGAAAAAGAGTTAAAGGCTAAGAAATTAAAAGAAGAAGAAGAACTAAACGCTAAAAAACAGAAAGAGAAAGAAGAAGAAGAACTAAAGGCTAAAAAACAGAAAGAGGAAGAAGAGTTGGAAGCCAAGAAACAGAAGGAAGAAGAAAAATCAAAGACTAAGAAATTAAAAGAGGAAGAGGAAATTAAAGATAAAAAAGAAGTAAAACCTAAGAAAAAGGAAGAGGAGGAAGAAGTAGTGAAAACCAAAAAACAAAATGAATCGAAACCCGAGAAACAAGAAGATGAAGAAAAATCTGAGAAGCCTCTTGAAGAATTAATAACCAAAAAACAATTGAGTTATGTTGAATCCAAACCAACGAAACATGCTGACGATGACGAGTGGGACGATAAAAACATAAAAGAAAAACAGAACCTGAAATACATAAATGAAATGGATAATGCCAATGATTCGAATAGAAATATGGCGTCTTACGACCGAGAAAATCGTTTTGACAAAAATTTTGAAGTTTCTTCTCGTCCTTCCTTAAACGATTATAAATTGAATACCTCTGAAGAATATTTAGATTCAACAAGAAAACATGAGAGATACAATTTAGCAGAAGATACTTTTAGCAGAATTAATATCAAGGATAACTTCGACAGTAAAAACTACTACTCTAAAAGAGAACGCAAATCTCCAGCTTCTTCTTTTTCCAACGCGGATACGACACACTTGGGCATGTCTTACTACGACTCCAAACAGGTAACTATTAGGGTAACATATTTTTTACATCAATACCCAACTTATATGTGAAAATAAACTTACAGGGTGCGGTTCACAAAACGAAAAAGCCAAATTTTTTGACACGTTTAACCGATCGGACAGCAACTCAAGGAAGTACCATAAGATTATCCTGTACTACTCTCAACACACCGGATTCGACAATCAAATGGCTTAAAGATGGTACGCCACTGTTTACGAAACCTTCCGATCATACATCTACCAAATACAGAACCACAGTTCAAAATGACATATCGACGTTGGAAATTTCAAATGCCACCCTCGGTGACAGTGGACAGTATACGTGCATAGTTCAAAATCCTTTGGGTGAGATATCGACGACGGCAGCGGTAAAAGTTTACGGAGAATTCGAACCTGCTCCTTTTCCACCGATATTTACAAGACCTATAAGAGATTTTTATAAATATTCCGAAGATGAACTTGTATTGGAATGTCGAGTCAGGTCTCAACCCCCTCCTAAAATTACCTGGTTGAAAAATTCAGCTCCCATAAAAGCAACATCGAGGTTTCAAATAACGGAATCGAAAGATGGTTTGTGCACTTTGACAATTTATCATCCGGAAGCAGACGACAGCGGGGATTACACTTGCAAAGCTGAAAATCCTGTATCATCGACTTCTCTATCACATTTTGTTAATTTCACCGAAAGGAATCAATACGTGAAAAATAAAATGGCGACGGAGGGGGCAAGCAGATCGATGAGAAATTTGGACGTGCCTAAATTTCATTCTGGTTTAAAAGATACGAAATTTCAAATCGGTAGCACCATCGCTTTGCAAGTCGAACTCAAAGGTACCCCGAAAGAAGTTAAATGGTTGAAAAATTCCGAAGAACTTTCTCAAACTTCAACCAGAATCCGATCCTTCGAAGATTCCGGAGTCTATACGTTATTAGTTACGGAAGCTTCGGAAAGAGAAACTGGTATATACACGTGTAGAGCATACACCAAATACGGACACGTGGATAGCAGTGCTAAAATACAAGTCGTACCACACGGTCACACGACTGGAAAACCACCCGAGATATTAAATAAACCCGAAAGCATGCAAACGATTTTTGTCGAAGACGACATCATATTCACGTGTAGAGTCACCGGAGAACCGAGACCTAAAGTTACATGGTTGAAAGGTGTTAAGAATATAACCGTCACGGATAGAACGATGATGGAACATAGTAACGACTATTATAAATTCACACTTAAAAAAGCAGTACCCGCGGATGCGGGTACATATTGGATAGTAGCTAAAAATATGTTTGGAAGCGAAAAAGCCTTCGTCACTGTACAAGTAAGTAGAGAATAAAAAAAAAATAAAATTTTCAATAAGAAAAACAATTAAGAATAAAAAACAAAATCGTTTGACAGATACGACAAAGGGCAAGATCACTCACACCTGGACCATTTAGCAGTTCAAGATGGAATTGGAGAGTCAACGATGGTGGTGGCGGTGGTGGTGGTGGTGGTGATGATGGTGCAATGGATACCAAACACAAAACAATCATCATTCGTACAAAAGGTAAGTTTTAAAACATTTTAATCCGAAAATTAAGTTTAAAAAACAGTTATTTTCATCGCGAAATTTGAATTTTCTTTTTCCCCTCCATTTCCGGTAAACGGAATTTTTCGAATTCCGGAAAACGAAAGGGAAAAAAAATTTTTTTCTTCATTTAAAAAAAAATCGTTAAAAAAAAAAAAAAAATTCGTCGTCGTAAATATTTAAATTTTCTGCTATTCGAACGGCGACGACGACAACAAAACAAAAAAAAAATTTTTTTTTTTTTTTACAACGAACGAACGTCAAGAAAATTATTTCGTAATAGAATTGAACGAATATATTTTTAGTTTTATCCGAGTGTAGGGGCCCGATGTTTTAGTTTTTTAGTTTTTTTTTTTAGTTTAAAATGAAAGTTTTAAACGGGAATTCTGTGATTTTAAATAACGAACAAAATACGGATAATGATAATAATGATAATAAATTATTAGCATTGCAAAATTTAAGGTTTTCGTGGTTGAATAAATATAATAATTCAAATAATTCTAAAGTTTATGATTTTTTGGAATATTTAACCGGATATCAAGGTACCGGAAGTAATAAAATTCACACCTTTCTTATTTTTTTTTTTTTATTGTTTATTGTTTTTTGATGATAAGAATTTTTTATCAGTTCGACGAAAATTAAATTTTTCGTAAATAATTTAATAAAATTTCAACGTGAAAACTTTTTTTCGGATTGTTTTTAAACTCCCCGCCCCCCTTCGCCCGCTCTCGCCCCCGCCTCTTTTCCCCCACGATTTAAATTTCATTCGAATTATTATTATTATTATTATCAAATAAATTTCTTGTTGTTTGTTGATTTTATGAATATTAATAAAATAAAATACATTAAGTTAAACATTTTATTAAAGTTATTATTTTGATGTTCTAAATTTTTTTTTTTTTCTTGTCATTGTTACCAACATAATAAATTATATTTTAAACAAAAAAAAAAAAATTACAAATTCTTATCGTTAAGAATTTATTTTTATTTTTTTTTTTAATTTTATTTTTAACATTTATTATTATTTTTTTTTTTTCTTCTCTTCTACTAAATTTTTTTACGTGTAAACAAATAAAATTTGGCACAAAAATGTTTTTTTTTTTTTAAATAAAAATTGTTACGCCTATGTTTACCTTTTGATAAAACATAACATTTACCGTGAATGGGAGACGTGGGAGAGGAAAAGAAAAGAAGAAGAAAAATTAAATGTGATGTTACGTAATACCCCCGAAAAAAAAAATAATTTAATTGTAATAAATTTTATTAACTAAAATAATTTTAAACGAGAATTAATTAAATTTAAAATTATTTAAATAGAAAAATTTATTAATTCTAACTCGAAATTATTTTAGGGCAGTAATTAAATAAGAAGAAGGAGAAGAAGAAGAAAAATAAATAAATAAATAAATAAGATTATTATTTTTTTTTTGCTTAGTCATAATGGAACCGTTTTATTTAATGTTTAAAAATAAAATCTGGATCGAATTCAAATACAGAAAAATCGTAAAAAAAAAAATTTTTTTTTTGTTAAATTAATTAACATCCGCCATTTTGCCAAAATCTATTTTTCAACAAGAATAAATCTTTTTCGTTTAATACAAAAAAAAAAAAAAAAATCTCGTTTTAAAATTATTTTTTCGTTAGAGAATTTAAAAGTAAATTTGAATTTTTTTTCTTTTTTTTTTAAATAGAAACTCCAGGACCGATTTCTGGAGAACCCTACATAACGGATTGCGGTAGAAATTGGTTTACACTTACGTGGGATAAACCAAATAACCGGGGAGCAGGACCCGTCGTTGCATATAGAATCGAAATATGGCAAAATTTTGAAAATGGCGGAGGAGCCGGATGGTCGGAAATAGGAGTTTCACCCGTGAATACTTTTGACGTATTCAATTTAAAACCCGGAGCCGAATATAATTTTAGAATAACTCCTAGAAATCGTTACGGATGGGGAGAATCTTATGTCACGTCAAAACCCCTCGGAATCGATAACAAAGTCGTTAATTTACCGGAATTTATAAAAATATTACCGGGTCAATTGAAAGGTTTACTGGGACAGGAAATTATTTTATGCTGTCAAGTACAAAGTGACGTCATACCCACAATCACGTGGTATAAAGATAGTCAACAAATAGATTTTGAAAATGAGAGTAGGTTACGACAAAGTTACGACAAAGGGGAATGTCATTTAATAATAAATAATCTACAAGAAGATGATTCCGGTCGGTACACGTGCGAGGCTGTTAACAAAAGAGGAAGAGTATCGACTTTTGTCAGGTTGCTCGCAGTGAGCGATCCGAAAATTCTAGAAGCTGACACACAATTGAAAAAGTAAGTTATGAGATTTGGAATCATGTTCAAATCGTCATTCGTAATTCATTTTTTTTTTTTTTTAATTAGGAAAATAAACGAAGAAGCAAGTCAAAATTATCCGCCACAATTTACAATGAGACTTCGAGATCGTAGAGTTCAAATGACGTATCCGGTTCGGTTAACGTGTCAAATATTAGGAAATCCAACACCGATGGTTACTTGGTTCAAAGACGACGTTCAAATAAACCAAGATGGTGAGTGAAATGATTATACCTAGGTCACCTCAATCACAAGAGAGAAAACTCATTATTTTTTATTGAAATTTACAGAACGTCACGTGTTTTCTTCCGGTGATCATTTTTACACGTTGGAAATTTCCAGAACGAATTTAGATGATTCTGGATGTTACACGATAAAAGCAAAAAATAACGACGGTTCGGTTTCTTGTCACTGCAACCTGATTGTCGACAAGGGTATTCGCGCATACGTAGCTCCACTTTTCATAAAAGAATTACCGGAAATGCGAGATGTGAAATGCAATAACGAATTAAGATTGTCGGCAAAAGTTGAAGCATATCCTTCCGTCGGAGTCGTTTGGTAATTTTTCTTCTTCTATTTTTTTTTACCCCTAATTAAAAATAGAAAAAGACTTCAAAATAATAATAATAATTGATAATTAGGCATAGAAACGGCGTGAGACTTCGTCCCAGTAGAAAAATAATAATGACTCTTGATCACGATGGAACGTTAGAATTGGCAATAGCACACATAACGCAAAGAGAATCCGGTACTTATACGTGTACGGCAACAAACGAAGTTGGAAGAACGGAAACAACGTGTAAAGTTAATGTCATATCAGAGTCATTTAACGATTCTCTGCCACCGCAAATACAAGAGCCTGAATTACCGTGAGTATATTCATATTTTCTATTGGAAATTATTGTCGTTAAAAACATTTAAAACCGGAAGTTGTGAGTTTGTTCGCATTCAATGTTTGTTGGTTACTATTTTTTTTTAGTAAATTAACATCTGTTAAACGCGTCGTGTTTCTCAAACACGCATTTTAATCGATTTTACGCCATTATTAAAAATTTTCTTCACTCTCGATCTCGATCCTTTCTAACTTTCTTTGTTTTGATAAAAAAAAATTTGACATCGATTTAAAAAAAAAAAAAAAAAACCGTCGAGGTCATACAAGGTCAAATAATATTAATTTTAAAAATAATAATAATAATTATTATTAATTAAATAGGTATTGACGTTGTTTTTCCCACGATTAATTAATTTTATTTAAAAAAAAAAAAAATTTTTTTTTTTTCATTGTTTTAAATAAGTTGCGACAAGTTTTCGTTAAATGTATCGCGTTATCGTAATAATTTTGTTTGTTATTATTCGACAAAAAAAAAAAAAAAATGAAAATGTCGTAAACTTCCTCCGGGTGTTTCGTAAACAAAATAAACTTTTTTTTTTTTTTTTTTTTTTTCCTTTCAAATTTATGAGAAAATTTAAATTTTATTCGTTGAAAAAAGAAAAGGAAAGTTGTAGGTATTGAAACAAAAAAAAATGGTTGTAAAGTACTTTCCGGAAATGACAAATAAAAATTTTTTTTTACACAAAAGTTATTAGTTATAATATAGAGATGACGAAGAAAAAAAAGTGTGATAACGTTATCGAATGTTTTGATATATCGAAACACTCGCGTATAACTTTCTCTCCTTTGAGGAATAATAAAAATGAAAATTTTTTTTTTCCTTTTAATTTTTTTCAGGTATTCTAAACAACCGATGTTCATAACGAAACCTCGATCAAGTAATGCTGTAGAAGGTGATACGGTTTTCATCGAATGTGAAGTCATTGGAGATCCCAAACCGGAAGTTTATTGGCTAAGAGATTTTCTTAAGGTAAAAGATTAAAATTCAATTCAAACGATGATTTAATAAAATTCGTAATAATTTTCGAAATAACTATTCGGTGTTTTAATGCGTCGTCTGCTAAAAAACGGCCCACTTTATTTTCTTAAGAAAAAAAAACATTTAAATGGCGACAATAAAAAAAAAAAAAAAATTTAAATTTAAATAGAAACTTTAAAAATTTAGCGCGAAGGTTTTTCTTTTTAAAAAAAAATTCAAAAGAAAATAAATAAAATTGTTACCCATATAAGGAATCGAGTTTTCCATTTTTTTTAAAGGACGTCTCGGGTCAAATAAGTTATAATAAGTAGGTTTTTTATTATTGATTGAGGGAGGTTATCAAATACCAACATTTAAAAAAAAAAAAAAAAAAAATTTTTTTTTTAAACGTTTCCGGTATTTGAAAAAATGGTTTTTTCCCTCTCCGATCGTGATCTCCTAAGGTAAAAAAAAAACTTATTTATAAATGATTTTGTAGTTAAAAGGGGGGAGGAGAGGTGAGGGGGAGGAGGTGGGGAACGATATGATATGAACAGGTTTCGTTCAGGTATCCAGCTGGCCGTAACCGGAATTATTATTATCAATTCATTCTCTACAAAATAAATATTATAAAAATATAATTTATTACTTTCTCTTTATTTGTTGTTGTTGTTGTGCGAAGAAGAAAAAGAAAAATTTTGAAAATCATGTCGCGTAATTTTTGCGCCAAAAATTATTTGAAAGTTTAAAAAAAAAAAAAACCTCTCGAACAAAGCTTTTTTTTTTCACGTATTGAACAGGAATAATAATAAATATTATAAATACAGGTCAGTCACGATTCAATGCAGGTCATTGCAAAAAATTTATTTATTTATTTAAATGCCGCCGCCATTGCCATCGCCGCCACTGCCGCTGCCACCGCCCTCGTTTGTATAAAATTATTAATTAAAAAAAAATTTGTTTTTTCATTTATTTATTTATTAATAATGGCGCGACGATAATAAATAATTGTCAATTGAACAAACGCATAATTATTAACGATTTATTTTTGTGCGTGTGATTTATTCTCACGTTGACATCCACCCACTCACGCGCACGCACGCACGCACGCACCACCACAAACGACCTTTCTTAACAAAAAAAATTATTATTATTATTATTAAAAAATAATCGAATGAGAGAGAGAGAGAGAAAAAGAGAAACCTAAATCTTCGTGATGATGACACAAACCAAGTTTGTTTTTTTTTTTAAATTTAATCCCCACTACCTACCAACCTACCTTCCTACCTTCCTACCTACCCGTGCCTGTAGGTTTTTACCCGAATTTAGACTCAGTACCAAGTTAAACGAGTTGAAGTAATAAAGTCAAACCTTGTTTGGTGAAAAAATTTTTTTTTTATTTTGGTTTGTTTCGTATTTATTTATTAATTATTTATTTATTAAAAAGAAAAGTGAAAGTGGTTGTTAGTTTAATAATAATATTAATAATATTAATAATAATAATAATAATAATAAAATTATTTTATTGTTTGTTACGGTTGTCGTCGTTTGTTCTTCTTTTATTATTATCATTTTGGATAAAATCGGTGGAAAAAAAATTGGGATAATATTTCATTTAAAGGTTTTTAATTATTTTTAATTTTTTTAAGGAAACGAATTAAATATAAAACGATTCGATATATCGATCGATATTTATCTCGTTGTCAAAAACAAAATAAAAACAAAACGTTTCACTCTTCATAATTTTTTTTTTAATTTTTTTTTTAATTTTTTTTTTTGTACGACTTTGAATTTTTTTTTTTTACGAAGATCGAATATGTTTTGGCTAAAACAACAAACAACAAACAACAACTACAACAACAACAATTATAAAAGTAATTAGTGTGTAACTTAAATACGGGAAATATATAATTATTAGTTTTTTTTTTTAGTAAAAAAAAAACTAATTCATAAATTAAGTCAATGGACTATTTATTATTTTATGAGCGGCGCCATTATTGTGCGTAATTTTAAAAGACCTTACTTGGTAATTTTTTTATTACCTTCATTTATTAATTAATAAATAAATAAATAAAGAAGGCGTTGTTATGAATAACTAAAATTATTATTATTTTACATAGTAATCAAACAAAAACAATAAATATGAATAAATAAATAAATTATTTATTTTAAAAATTAAAATTTTTAATTAATCATCATTCAATTCTTTTAATTCATTCATAAAATAATTTGGAGAATTTTTTTTTTTTTAAATAAATTTATTCGTGACATTGAAAATTACGATTACGATGATGATGATGATGATGATAATTAGTTAATTAATTAATTAAGTTTTTAATTATTATAATTTAAAATTAAAATTTGTAATGTAATGACGAATTGAATTGTTTGGGAAAAAAAAATTATTACAAAATCATATATTGAAACAATAATTGTTGATTAAGGTATCAAACATTTAATAACGAAAAAAACAAACGAAAATGTAAACAACAACACATTGTTGTTGTTATTGTTGTTGTTGTTTGTTGGTTGTTTAAAAAAATAGTAAAAAAACCGTTGGAAAAAAAAAATTTTTTTTTCATTTTTCGTTTCATTTTTTTTTCCGGTCATCAATCAATAAGCTAAACATTAAATTTTTTTTTTTTTGTCAAAATCAAATATTAAAAATGGCGGCAAATTCTTTTAAATAAAGCAGAAGATAAACAAATAAAAATTATTGTTCAAATATTAGTCACCAAACTACAAAAGAACATAAATTTGTTTTGTTTTTTTCCTTCACTTCCGCTTTGCTTTCGTCGGTAATTAATTAAATAAATTACGCGTTGTTATGTTTATTACTAATTTTTATTTTCTTATTAAAATATTTTTTTATAAATAAATAAATAATAATGATAATAATAATAATAATAATCTTTTAAAAATTGACAAAACTCTTTTTTGTGAAAAAAATAAAAATTTTAAACCGTCGATCATAATTTTTTTTTTTTATTACTTAAAAATTATTATTATTATCATCAAAAAAAGATGTTTTTGTAATGTAGGCGTATAAGAAAATCTTACGAAAATCCTACTAAAATAATAATAATAATAATAATAATAATAATAATAATAATAATGGATTTTTAAAGTCCTTCGATAATAAAAGTAAATCCGACCTGAAAAAAAAAAAAGTGAGAGTTTTAATTACGGTGGGAAATTGAAAAATTGAACTTTTAATTTTTTTTGCAAATATAATAATAATAATAATGAAATGTTTGTTTAATAAACGGCGATAAGATTTTTCAAAAAAAAAAAAAAAAAAAAGAAAATTTCGTAATAAAATCAAATTTTAATGATTAAAACTACAAATGATTAAAAAAAAAAAATTTTTGTAATTGGATAGCGGGGGGTTGATTTAATCGTGAACGATTTCAAAAAAAATTATTATTATTATTATTATTATTTTTAATTATTTCGTCTGCTAACGTACGATTACAAAAAAGAAAAAAATTCTTATGTGCGTTTATAAACTCCTCCGCAAATTTTTTTACTTGAAATCCTTTTTTTTTTGTTGATAAAATTTGAAAGGTCACGACCCACCACCAAAAGGATTTTAATTTAGTCGTAATAATAATGATGATTTTTTTTTCCAGCCGGATTACTATAGGGATTCGCCAGATTTTAAAACGCAAGGTAACGGACCGAAATATTTACTGGAAATACCAAATGCAAAACTCGATCATACTGGAACGTATTCGGTTGTCGCAAGGAACGTACATGGAGAAACTAAAGCCGTGATTTCCCTTCAAATCTATGCAAAAGGTAGTAACCATAATAAATATTTATAAATTTGAAAATCAATATCCGTTATCGATTTATGGATTTTAATGATAACGGGAATCAATAATGTTTGGCTAAGGAGAAAAAAAAAAACCGCACACACACACACACACACACACATGCACATACACTAAAAAAATGATTTTATTTATTAAATAAATGATCCGATCGATTTTTTACAATTAAAAAAAAAACAACTTCCGGAAGTATATATATATATATATTTAATTTTTTTATTTGACCTTGAAAAAAATTTAGTCAAATAATTTATGTCAATACAAAAAAAAAAAATGTTTCAAACAACTAAAACTAATATTAAAAGAGTTTTAAACAAGTAAAAAAAAAAAAGAAAAAACCTTCACGTCAAATAATAATGATAACTATATACGTGCAATTGTGCGTCGAGCCCAAGAGGCCCGTACCTTAACCATATATATACGTATATACGCCTATTATGGTATAAATATAAAATTTATTTTGTTTTAGGTCAAGGAAAGGAGGACAGGATGGACCACCGTAATAATCCTGTGACTCATGGGTGAGTTGTTATTATTATCATTATTTAAGAAAAATTTCTCTTTTTTATTATTATTATTTCTATAAGTGTTGTAAATGTTTTTTTTTTTTTTTAGGAAAGTGGAAAGGCTTCCGATATTTAAAAAAGGACTCAAAGATATTCGTTGTTGCGATGGTGATGCTGTGACATTTGAATGCGTTGTTTTTGCTCCCGATCCCGTCGATATAAAATGGGAAAAGGAAAAAAAATCTTTGCCCAAAGGAGGTGATTTCGAAACGAATTTCGATGGAAGTACGGCCACGTTAATGATAAAACAAGTTTTTCCGGAAGATGAAGGAGAGTATACATGCGTTGCTTATAACGATATCGGTCGTTCTTATACTTCGGCGTGTTTGGTCGTCGACGTACCGGAAGAAAAAGAAAATTTACTCAGTAGGCAATTAACTCGTCAGTCTGATATTATGTCAAATGCGTCTACCCCCCGTTCGACTCCTCGCACGACTCCTTCTAGAAGTATTTCACCGTTTACTTCGAGTAGTTGGAAAGAACCTTTATCTACGACGGCGAGACAAAAAAGATTGAAAATAACACCGCCAAAATTTTATGCGGTACCTCATAATCGAGTCGCTGAAGAAGGAGAAACGATACGTTTTCAATGTGCCGTATCGGGTCATCCCACACCTTGGGTGACTTGGGATAAAGATAACAGTACCGTGACACCGACTAGAAGAATAAATATTTCGGAAAAAGACGATTTAAAAATTTTAGAAATAGAAGAAGTCACGGTGGAAGATGCCGGATTGTATAGGATCACCGTAGAAAATGAAGTCGGTCGTGTTGAAGCAACTGCGAGGCTCGATGTCATAGGTGCAAGAGGTCATATGACAAAAGCTCAAAGCGTACGATCTTGGAGTTCTTCGCCGAGTTTTAGAAGGCGGATAGGAAATAGCGTGGGTAGATTAGGAGATAACGTAACTTTGGCATGCGATGTCGTATCTAGTCCCGATACCATAACTTCTTGGTACCGAGAGGGAGAATTAATCGTAAAAACAAACAAAACAACACCGACGTGGGATGGAAAAATTGCCATGCTCGAAATTGATAATTTAGAAGAAGAAGATGCTGGAGTTTATTCTTGCGTAGCAGAAAATAACGCAGGGAAATGTTATTGTTCGGCTGAATTGGTTGTCGTCGACAGGGACGACGACCTAAATACCATGCCCCCGGTTTTTGTTAACGCTTTGAAAGATGTTGTCGTGGAAGAAGGAAATCCAGCAGAATTACAAGTTCAAATTAAAGGTATTAACTAATCCAAATCCTTACAAACCCCCTACCCTCAACTTTTCACTCATAGTTTTTCGTTTCCCATAGGTGCAGCACCCTTCGACGTCGTTTGGGTTAAAGATAACAAAGAAATTCCTAATTGTCCAGATTTTCGTTACATTGATTACGACGACGGTAGATTCGGTCTTAGAATAGCCGATGCTTTTCTCGAAGATTCCGGAAAATATTTATGCGAAGTTTTTAATCAATACGGAGAATCTGTTTCATCGGGTGAATTATTGGTCAAAGGTCAGTACGAATATCTACAATGACGACTTTAACAATTTTTTTTGTTTTTTTTTTGATTAATTAGTAACAAACAAACAAACAAAAAAAAAGAACAAAAAACAAAAATCGATTATGACGTCTCGCACATTGAATAAGATTCACTCGTAACTATTGTCAAGGACCATAAACATTATTAGGTGATAATAATAACACCTTTTAAATTTCCTTATTTAATTTTTTTGATAAGTCACGATCGCTATGTTTTTTTTTTTTTTGTCATTATGATTATCATCATTATTTTTTTAAACCGACAAATACATTGTTGTTTGTTTTAATTATTTAATTTAATTTTTTTTTTGTTTGTTTGTTTGTTCGTCATCGTCGTTTTTACGTCAAATAAAATTAAATTCGGAAGGAAGGATACGCGATTTGAGATTTAATTAAGTGAAAATTAATTTTTAAAAAATTCGTTATAAATTCATTCATTCATTCATTCATTCACTGACTGAAAATTAAAGGTTTTTCATGACAATATCACGAACTACAAACGACATACGTGTATAATATATACGTCATAGAAATTTTAAATAGTTCACGAACCTTAAAAAACCGTTAAAGGCGTCGTTTTGAATTTTTTTTTAAACAATAAAACGTTTAGAAATTTTTTTAATAAATAAATAAATAAAAAATAACTTGAAGGCTATTATTAATTAATAAATTAATAAATAAATATTTTTTTAATAAATTAAAACTATTTTAAAACCGCTTAAAAAACAATAATAATAGAACCAGAAATTTACGTTATCGTATTTATTTTATTATTTATAAAAAAAATTTTTTTTTTTTGTTTAAACAATAAAATATAAACAATTTATAAATATAACTAATGATAATAATAAATTCTTTTGTTTAAATAATAAAAAAAGAAACACCCGAATTGTTGTTTTTTGTTCTATTCAGAAAATTAAATAAAAAATAAAAAATTTGTAATTATTATAGTATGTTAAGAATTAATTAAATAACGAATCGATTTAATTTTTTTAAAAAAATTATTAAAATAATAATAATAATTATTATTATTATCACTAATTATTTATAAAATTTTCTTTACAGAAATTACAACGGAGCGTTTGCCAAAAATCGTATTTAGTAAAACTCCAAATTCTTTAGGGGTGAAAATTGGTACGAGTGCCAGTTTTTGCTGTCGCGTTCAAATGGATGATATAAAATCACGATGTAAATTAATACAATGGAGTGTCGGGGGGGTGGTAGTCGATGATAAAACAATTTCTAATCGATATACGGTAAGTAATAATAATGATAATATTTTTTAAATATTTCGACACCTTTTTTTTATTACAATTTGGATTTGTTTAGGTGGAAGGAAATGACGACATAAGCATTCTTCATATAAATTCGGTTAGTGGTAAAGATGAGGGTGAAATTGTATGCACCGCTCGATACGTTTGTGATAATTGTAAGGGTAAAGCGTCATCGAATGGTAAATGTTCGTGTTTGGACAGTTCGTCATCGTGTTCGGCTGATTTAATTATTTTACCACAACAAGAAAAATCAAATTCGATTGATGATGATGATGATGATGATAAAAATATCGAAGAATCGATACCGAAAATAATTAACGGTCCGAAAGATTTAAACGTTTTCAGAGGTGAAAATATCGTTTTAAGAGCTTCTTATACGGGACAACCGAAACCCATTGTAAAATGGCTCAAAGGAGTAAGTTTGTTTGTTTGTTTGTTAAATAAAAATCAAATCTCGTTTGTATAACGATGCGACAGTCATATGTTTGTTTGTTTGTTTGTTCAGGGCCAAATTTTGAGAAATACAGATAAGATAAACATAAAAACAGGTGATGGAACTACGAGTTTGTCCGTATTTACAATCAATTCAGACGACAGCGGTAAATATGTAGTACACGTTGAAAACGATTTGGGAAAAGATTGTCATTTTTCATCAGTCTCCGTCAAAGGTAACGTTCATTATTATTATTATTTTTTTTTTTACTTTTTCTAATTGCACGACGACGACGACGACGACGATCAAAACTTTTCAATACGGTTAATATTTTTATTGACGTAAATTAATTAAATCGCATTTTTAAAAAAAATAAACAATAATTATTACCGTAAGTAAATAAATTTTTTACTCCGCCGTTTATTTATTTAGTTTATACTATAATAATAATAATAATTTCGAATATTACCGTAAGTTAATTTGATTGACGTTTTTTCAATATTCAAAACGTACCGTTAGCCTGTCTGTCTAAAATCACGTTCGTTTGTTTTATTTATAAAAGTATCGTTTTTGAATTTGTTGTATTTTTGTTTATGGATTCTAATTATATAAAAATTAATTATTTTTGTGTTGATAAATCGATACGGCAAAAAACTTACTCGGGTAATTTTTTTTTACCATTTTATTTTGGGGATTTTAATAAATAAGTAATAAAAGAAAATCGTTAGAGATAATGTTTTGAAGATTCCTTATGTAATTATTAATTAATTTTTAATAAAAGTAATATTACCGTAATTTTTTTTTTGGGCGAAAGATTATTACCGAAGAGATTCAATAAATAAAATCTTTAATAAGTAATAAATTTTTTTTTTAACTGTACGGGTAATAATAAAAACAATGAAAATTTTCCGATCGAAAAATTGAATAAAAAAAATAATAAAAATTAATAAAACATTTTTTCCCTTTATTATTATTATTATTATTACCGTTTTGAATTTAAAAGAAAAAGAAAAAGATTTTTTAAATAAGAAATGACGGAAAATTTTTTTTTTAATAATAAAATTTAAATTTTAAATATTATAATAAAAAAACAAAAAAACAAAAGTTTTAATAAAAAAATAAAACAAAACAAACAAAACAAACAAAATCATATGACAAAACCAATTTTTTTTTTCAAACATAACAATAACAACAACAACAACAATTCACATTAATTAACAAAAAGTTTTAAAGAAAAAAAATTTATGAATATGACTCAAGGTTCGTTTGTCATTTATTATTATTATTATTATTATGACGTTAAAAACGACGAAATTTATCGCGTGTGACGTCAGACAAAAATTTTTTTTTTTTTTAACACGAAAATATATATTAAGAATGATGACTTTGATGAGAAAACCCCATAAAAGACAAAGAAGGAAAAAAAAGAAAGTTGGGTTGTTAGTTATTAACCAAACGTTTAGTTGTTGTTCGGTTGGTATCGAGTACGGGTACTTCATTTAATTCCAAAAAATTTTTATTTCAAGTTATTATTATTATTATTATTGTATAGAAAAAAAAATGGTGGCCGGAGAAATTTTTACATCTCATCGAAACATACCAGGTGAGGTTTTTTTTGAGGTTTTAGGAGATTTTTTTTTTTGGGGTTTTAGGAGGTTTTTTTTTGAGGTTTTAGGAGGTTTTTTTTGAGGTTTTTAGGAGGTTTTTTTTTTTTCTTTAAATTAATTAATATGGCTGGATAAAGAGACGTAAAACGTATACGGGATCTATTATTGATTGGCAAAATCCCCCCAAATTTTTTTTTTTTTTTTTAACACTCTCATTTTTGCAAAATGTAAAAGTTTGTTCCTTTTTGGCTTATAGGGCCTCCCGATCCACCGGCAACGTATCCAATAGTTAAATACGTTGGAAATAATGCATTGGAAGTTGAATGGTCGAGTCCACATTTCGACGGTGGTAGTCAAATAACGGGATACGTAGTAGAAATAAAAAATAATATAGATAATCAATGGAAAGAAATATCAGGTTTAACTCATTATCTATCATACGTGGCAAATAATTTACAAGAAAATATAAAATATAAATTTAGAATAAAAGCGGAAAATATGTACGGTCAAAGCGAACCGAGTTACGAATCCAACGAAATTCTCATACCATCACACACAAAGTTGGAAAATGATGATGATACTAATTTCACAATAATACAATCGGGAAACGTATTTAAAAAAAATTATAAAGTTTTAGAAGAGCTTGGAAAAGGACGTTACGGTGTCGTGCACAAAGTCGAAGAATTCAAAACGGGACGAAAATTGGCGGCAAAATTTGTCAAGTGCATCAAAATGAAAGATAGAGAAAAAGTCAAAGAAGAAATTGAAATTATGAATTTTTTAAGGCATCCGAAACTTTTGAGTTTGGAGGCCGTTTTTGAAAATCCCCGGGAATACGTCATGGTCATGGAATAGTGAGTACCTGTCCTTACTTCTGGAGCAATTCCCTCGACGATCGTTTACCAAAAAAAAAAAAAATTTTCTTTTACAGCATATCGGGTGGAGAATTATTTGAAAGAGTCGTGGCGGATGATTTTCAACTGACGGAAAGAGATTGCATATTGTTCATGAGACAAATATGCGAAGGAGTCGAATACATGCACAAAAACAACATCGTGCACCTGGATTTGAAACCTGAAAATATAATGTGTCAATCGAGAACGTCGCACGAAATAAAATTAATTGATTTCGGTCTTGCACAAAAGCTCGATCCGAATACTCCGGTTCGCGTTCTTTTCGGTACTCCAGAATTTGTACCACCGGAAATAATCAATTACGAACCCATAGGATTAGAAACTGATATGTGGTCGGTTGGTGTGATTTGTTACGTGTTGTAAGTACTACAATCAGGACCGAATCCAGGTGAGAGAGAAAAAAAAAGTAACAATTTTAACATTTGCCTCTTCTTTGTTAGATTGTCTGGTTTGTCACCGTTTATGGGTGAAAACGATGCGGAAACGTTTGCCAACATAACGAGAGCTACGTTTGATTTTGATGATGAAGCTTTCGATGCTATTTCTCAAGATGCTAAAGACTTTATATCGATGCTTATCGTTAAACGAAAAGAGTAAGTTGTTTGTTTGTTTGTTTGCTTGTTTGTTTCGCTTTGTTTTCTCACACTTTAACGTTTTTTTTTTTTTTTTTTTCGTTTAGAAAACGACTGACAGCATCCGAATGTTTAAAAAATAAATGGATGATGTCAGAACATGACAAAACAATGAAAGTCGTTTTAAGCACTGATAAACTTAAAAAATTTATTATTAGAAGAAAATGGCAGGTGAGTTTCGAACGAATGTTATTGATTGATTGATTGATTGATTGATTGATTTATTCATATTTTATTCCTTACATTTTTTTTTTTTCATTCATTTTAAACATGCGTAATTTTTATTAATTATGTTTTTTTTTTAACGAATGAATTTGAGATTGTAAAAAATTTAAAATTGTAGTAACGATTCGTTTGTTTGTTTTTTTTTTTTTTTAAATTACTAATGTGTAACAAAGCATGTGGTGTGTAAAATAAAATTTTTTTTTTTTTTTTTTAATTAACAATTAACAGAAAACGGCAAATGCCATCAGAGCATTGGGACGAATGGCATCATTGTCGGCAGCATCACGAAGAAATTCAGGACAAATAAATAATAATAGTCAATTAGAAAATAAAAATTACGTCGAAATGGTATCAAATTCTAGTCTGAAAAAATGTTGCGGTTATAATAAATTATTAGAAGATGGGAGAGAAGGTGATGGAGATTCGAAAAAAGAAGGAGGAGAAGAAGAAGAAGAAGGAAAAAATAATAATTTGAAATTATTTAAAAGCGAAAGAAGCGATTCGGGTATAAGTGATTGTTCTTCTGTCGGTTCTAATCATTCATCAACTTCTGCATATCAAACGGGAAATAATTTATTAAATAAAAAATATTCAATAACAGAAGAAAAGGAATCAGACTCCAATACGATCGATAATGACGATGATGATGATGATGATGATGGGGAAAGGAAAAGAGAAGATGGAAATAATGATATGTTTAAAAAAAAAGAAATCCAAGAAAAAGTATCGGATATAAAAAAAAAATTTATTGATTTTAGTCAAAACGTGGATGAAATGGATAAAAAATTAGAAAATGTCGGTAAAAAATTAAACGATATATCATCGAGTCAAATAAATGTAATTACAAATAATCAAATTAAACGAGTGGTCGTACCTGATTTAAAAGAAATGAAAAATGGAAACGATGTCACAATACCATTAAAAAATACACCCCCATCGGGAAAAATAACGACGAACGTTAAAATTAATATTAATTCATCTGTTTCTTTGCCAACAGCAGAAGAAAAATTGCCAGGAGTATATGTGAAAACTAACGGGGAGGTGGTGAACGGATGTAAACCTTCTTCGAACGTTCAAAGGAAGTTACAGGAAACGTATAATTATTCAAAAGTTGCTGCCGCAGTTAAAAATTTAAATGAGAAATTAGAAAATGTAAGCAATAAAAAATTTAATAATTTTAATGATAATAATAATAATAAGATTAGGGTAACGCGTTCGAGAAATTTTCAAGAAACTGTAGCATTTTGGAAAAGATAGTAATTTGTAAAAAAAAAAAAAAGAAAAATTGTACATAATTATTATTATTTTAAGCGAAATTTAATTTTCTCTTGTTTGTGTGTGTGTGTGTGTGTGTGTGTGTGTGTGCGCGCGTGTGAATGTTGTGTGATGGAAAGTATGAAAAAAAACAAGTTTTTTTTTTTTTTTTTTAAATAATTTACTTGTTTTATTTATTTTCAAAAAAAAAAAAAAAAACAACAACAACAACTTCACGAATGTTGTTTAAAAAATTATTTCATTAATTATACTTTCTATGTATATCTTAATTATTTATTTATTTAAATCTGTTATTTTAATTTCCCTACAAAAAAAAAAAAAAAAATTTCCCTGCACTTGCAAATAGGATCCGCCATGTTGAATTTCACATCAATAGATTGTAAACAAAAAATTATAATAGAAAATTATTTTTACAAGTTTTTTTTTCGTTTAAGTTTATTTAATCCTTTGAATCGTTAAAATATTTTTTCTTTAAATAAAAAAGAAAGAAAAATTTGTTAAATAAAAATTAATAAAAATTTTTTTAATTAAATAATAAAGAAAAACGATAGGAGAAAAACTCAAGGGGATTTTTGCGGTAAGAAAGGAGGGTAGAAAGACTAGGAAGGTATAGTAAAAGTGAAAAAGGTAAGGAACCAAGCGAAGAAAGAAAGGTTCGAATAGAAGGAGGAAAAATAGAGTTGGAACTGTGGAGGTTTGAACTTGGTATTTTCCTTACTTTAAATTTCTCACTGTCAATCACAATAATTATTGTTGCTCCTAGGTTTATTGGTTTAGAGGATGCTAAGGATGACTTGCATCGGCTGGGGGAGGACTTAAATGGAATACTAGTGCCTTCGAAGTTTAGGGGGTGTTCCAGGATGGATAATATGGATGGAGAGAGAGGAGGAGGCGTTACTTTTTCTGCAGTCGGCTGGGCGAAGAGAAAAAGAGTCTGCTACGCATGAGACGAAAGGGGGTTATGCCAAAACGATAAAGGATGGGATGTTCGGAGGCTGGAAAGGGAACTTGCAATTCTCAAAGAGTTAAAAAAAAAGAACTCGGGATTGGCCGAAATGCGATCGGTTGCCACGGGAACAAATGGGGTTACTGAGACCCGGGAAGTAGCGACTTCGCCGATCTCTGCGGCAGGGAACAAAAGTGCGCCTGCTGATGCAGATGAAATTATTTCTGGGACCAATGATGGGTTCGTTACATTTACTCGTCGGAGTAAAAAATGCGCAAAGCAAAAGCTGAATGGTGGGCTTGTAGTGGTTGATAAGGGGGACAAGAAAGCGGAGCCGGCTTTGGATAGCTCGCAGTTCAAACCACCACGGGCGGCGGTGGTGGTTCTTAAAAGGGCCGAGAGTGGAAAGTCCTTTGCGGAGGTCTTGGTTGCTGCGAGGGAAAAAATCCAATGATTTCGAAGCCTTACAGGATTCCGAGTGAGGGTTCGAGCTCTGATAGACTTTGGTATGCGTCTGAAGACGGCAGGGCTGCGATCCACTTCTCCAGGTTGGGTCAGAGCCCGAGAGCCACGAACCCAGTCAAAACACCGAGGCCTCGAGAGCTGTCCTGGGGAGAGGGTTTCGTTCTGGTTGGATGGGGAAACGCGGTTCTGGTGTCTGCTTACGCGTCGCCGAATCGTCCCGTCAGCCAGTTCGAAAATTTCTAGCACGCGCTCGCGAGGGAGATCGATCGGTTCGAGGGGGGGGGGTCCCGTCCCACTCTTGTCTGCGGCGACTTCAAGGCGAAACACTTTTCGTGGTCGGGATAAACGCGCGTGGCCGTTTCCTCAAGGAGTGGTTTGATTCGCGTCATTTCGCCGTGCGTAACCAAAGGGGAGCGAAAACTTGCGTGCGGGCCACCGGCGAGTCCGCGATCGATCTCACGGTTTCTTCTGTTGCGGCCGCGCCGTGGGTCTCCGGCTGGGAGGTCCTTTCCGATTTCGAGTCCCTGAGCGATCACGCCTACTTGGTGTTCTCGTTCGGGGCTCTTCGGTCCGGCGGGCCTCGCGTCGTCATTCCGCCCCAGTGGAGCCTGCGGTCAATGCACGAAGAGCGGCTCGTTGAGTGTCTCGCTGCGGAGTCGTGGCGAAGAGCCAGTCTTGATTCGGGAACAAATAACGCCGGCGAGATGACGCGGAGAATCCGGGACGATTTGCGTCGCATCTCGGATTCGTGCATGAGAAGGGTCGGTTCGGGGTCGAACGAGCGCAAGCGGCCGAAATACTGGCGGACGAACGAGATAGGAGAGTTGCGAGGAGTCCTGTCTAGCTCGTTGTCGGTTCGGGGATAGGAAACGGGAACTCCTCCGCCGCGGAGATTACGAAGAAATCGTGACCGGCCCAGTTTTGCTGGGGCTTAAAGCGGAGTGGCGGGCGTCGCCGAGCGATATGGAGTTCGAAGGAGGAGAGTTGGAAGGAGCTCCTGAGCAAGGTGGATTCGGATCCGTCGGGGCGGCTGACGGCCGGCCTGACGGGGGAGTTTCTCGCCGAAGTCGTCGCGGAGCTCTTCCCTCGCGTCGGGCCCTACGCGTTTCCTCCGGCGGACTTCGCCTTCGACCGCAAACGCACAAAAAATATTTCATGATTGGTGAAGTAATAATAATAATAATAATAATTGACGTCACTGTCGTGACGTTGAAAAGAAGAAAAGAAAAAAATTACGAACGCCGCTGCCGCCACCGCCACCGTCGCCGCTGTTTGCCGAAGAAGCTGTAAGGACAAGAAGGAAAAAGACGATCGATTAGCCACCAGTTGCAACAATGTCTACCACCTCAAGTAAACTAACGTTACTCCCATAGAGTATGAAAAATGGAAAAGGAAAAGAAAGAAAGAAAGAAAGAAACTTGCTAACTTTCCCGAGGATGCCAATATTCACCTGTTTTTTTGTTTGTTAAATTTATTTTTTATTCTCTCTCTCTCCCCCTTCTTTCTCTCTTTCTCTTTCTCTCTTTTTGCTTTAACTTTGCAATTTCGTATAGGTGTGTTTAAGTGAAACCACTCCTTCGACTATTTACGATATGGAAGAAAAACTCTTCGAGTGATGGTGGTAAATCATGAATGAATAATTAAATAAATATTGTTTGCAGATTGTCGTCGTCGTCATCGTCGTCTCCAACGCCAACGTCAAGAGGATAAACGGATTTTTTGTAACCACGTCGTTCTTTTTATAAAAGAAAATAAATGACCTCCTGCACATCTCTCTCTCTCTCTCTCTTTGAAGAGTTACAAGTTAACAATCGAGGGGCAAAACATTTTCCAGCAAGAGCAAACATCAGATTGATGTAATAATTACTCGGAAACGATGGTAAACTTTGGTCATCAAAAGTGGGTGGAAAAAGAAGAAGAAGAAGAAGAAATTCTCCAGTGCTGGAAAAATAAAAAAAGAGTTTACAACAAGGAAGAGAATTTGTTGTTGTTGTAGTAAAAATCGTGGATTTAATTACGGAGGCTTTCAGAAGAAGAGTCTACCATTGGCGCGGGATCGTGACAGACACGTTATATAACGTTACACGTTATATAATAATAATAATATAGTAATATATGTATTTATTCTCTCAAATATATTATTTAAAAAAAAAAAATTTTGTTTTTTTTTCCATCATGCATGTTTGGTTATATCCTTCATTTATTCCCATAAAAGAAAAACGTAAAAAATTTTTTATACAAATTGGGTTATTTAATTTGCAAAAGTATCAGTGAAACACAATGTCGAGGAGATATGATTTTCTTTAAAAAAAAAATTTGGGTTATGCAATTGGCAATACGCAAAACCCGACAAATTGCATAACTCAAAAAAGTAAGGCGGACAGAAAAAATCGAAAAAATTCAAAAATTCTTAAAAATTGTGGTTATGCAACTGGCAATACGCGATAACACGACAAATTGCATAACTCACAAAAGTAAGGAGAACGAAAAAAAATCAAGAAAAATGAGTGAAAAATTGGTTCCGAGTATCAGTAAAACATAATATTTAGGAGGTCTCAATTTTTCGATAATTTCGCTTCGCTTCAACGCCTTGCATTTAGAGTATATGCAATTTTCAGTACAATTTTTAACCAATGGCGTGCTTTGTATACATAACGAGAAATTAATGGCGCTCGCCATTCGTACTCGTGATTGGTCAGAAAAAAAATCACATATTTTTCATGTTTAACTTATGTATTAATATGAATAAAATTGAAATTATGAAATAACTATGTTTTAAAGCAAAATTGTGTATATGTATATATTAAATGTGACCAAGGATGGAGAAACGAATTTAAAATTAAAAAAAATAATAATAATAAGGATAATAAATAAATTTTATTTAATTTTTATTTATTTATTTATTATTATTATTATTATTATGTAAAAATATTTATTCGTGGCCGTATTATAAAAGCATGTTCGGTTGTTCATCTCGTTGTGTGTTATGTTCGGTTCGTTCTTTATATTATAAGTCGCAAATTAATACTAAAATTAATTTACAGTTTATTTCTTGTGACGTGTTAAATGCTCAGCATAGACTTTTTCACAAAATAAAAGTAAAGGTTATTTTAACTCGCGAACAAACACTTAGAAACTATCACTCAACAAAAACTAAAATTAAGGAAACGGATAAGAATTCAATATAACAAACAAGTATCGAAAGAACGCGTGCAAAGCTATGAAGCTTCTCTTTATAACCTCAATTTTTCATTAGTCAATTGTTTCGAATGTCCAACAATCTAAACGAGCAAATACTTGCAAATAAAACAAAAGAAAGAGTTTCTAGAAGCTTCGCTTCTAAAGAAGAACAATTTGAGTTCATCATTAGTCTTTTGTTTATAAAAAAATTGAAAAATGTGAACATTGAGTGCGGGATCATAACAATATATATATATTTACAAGGCCAAAACTGTATTCTATTACTGGAACAGCTAATGTGCCGATGGAGTTTAACTTATTTCTTCCATTCAGTTCCGACTGTTATATGAGCCTCAATCTTTTAAAATATTCTTTCTTTAATCGAGGTTTA